TATCATTTAAAATATATTTATTAGAATTTTATTTTAATAAATATATATAGAATATTAGAAAAATGATAATAATTATCTATATTGACTAAGCTTAAAAATACTTTTAGGATTTTAAAGACAGCTGAATTAAAGCTCCTTTGGTGGAAAGAAAAGAAAAAATAGTAATGATAAGATTGCAATAAAATACTTAAACCAAGATAGTAGATACTGAAGAGCAGCAGATTTATTTAAATCATTACGAAAAATACTTGTGCAGTTCTAGTTTAATTAAGTATTTCGCAATGATTTTATTAATATCTCTTTTTATGGTGAATTTATCACAAGGGCATTCAAATTCTTTCAAAGAAGATCTATAGATAGATTTAGGAGTGCATTCTTACTTACATCTTTCAATCTTAAATCTATTGATAGAACTGCTTTGAATATAGTTAAAGAATAATGAAATGTTTATCTCAGTATTATTAATTATCCTAGAACCTTTGGTTTTTGAATTATTCTCTGGCACTACCATCGGCATCTAAGTTATTGAAGTCTTTTTTTTATTACTATGTTAGCTATCAAATTAGAAGATAAGTAAAAATATATTTAATGAGTTACACTTTAAGAGTTCTGTTAAAAGATACTTTAGTTCACACCATATTTATTCTAATATTTTTAATAATTTTTATCAAGGTTTAAAATAAGTCAAGCTATACTATAATATGCAATCAAAATAATGTTTAGTGATTACTCAACTTATAACTTAATTATTCTAATAAATATCAAATTAATCAAATTATTTTATTAATTCTTTTTATTTTAATATTTTAATCCTATTTATTCTACATTTTTCATTTAGTCCTCTTAATACTTATTTTTGTTTTATTAGATACTCAACCAATTAAATTATATAATATAATATATATATCATATAAATTACTTTCATTGTAAATTCAATAATGATATTTTTCAATATTTTTATTTTCTAACAAATTTTTATTAGCTTTTCTATTCTATACTACTTCGCAAAACCTTATATAATCATTTACAAAAAGATATAAAATTAGAATTGTACAAAAAGAAATAGTTTTTATATTGATTTGTTCCTTGTTAATCTTTTTTTTCTTGAATAAAATTAATGATTCCATTTCTAGATGGTTAAATTATAATGGAATAACTTTAGATAACTATGAATAAACTTTTAGGAATAATTATAAAAAACAAATATATTCATTAAACATGTGATGTTTCAAGTTATATATGTTATTAACGATCCTAGTGACCTATTAGAATTAATGATCTGTGTTTTATTTTTAATTACATAAATAGGATTTAAAAGAGAAACAGAAATAATTAAATTTGTATTCCATGAACTATGGTTGTGATAATCAGTAAAATTAGTAAAAAAGCAATACATCTATTCTTTAAAGAATAATATTTACACAAATAGAAGATGCACTGGGATTATTTGTTTAGAATAGCCTATGATGTGAATTTCGACAATATTTAAAATGAGATAAATAAAAATCTATGATATTTGATATATTACTATACAGTTATAAAGAAGTACCATGAATGCATCAAATATTCTTACATAATGAATAGTATCCAATTGACTGTAAATTCTAGCATTGTTAAAATTTCGATTCTTTTTAAAATAACCTTTTGATTAGTATTTTACATTTATCTAGTGTTCATTTTTTATTGTTATAATTAATAATGCTCATTTTAGTTTTATTTTCAAATTAACAATTAATTTAATTTTTATATGTTCACTTAACCCTCAGGTGCTAAGTCTTCAGCTTAAAGCACTCCATATAAAACTAAATATCATCATCCAGAATAAGAAGAAACAATATCTGAAGATGAATCACAAATTAACAATATTCTCAAAGCCTTAAAACAATAGTAAATATAAATAATATTTGAATTTTTTCTTTTCTAGATATCTTATAATGGATAATACACTCAATGAAAAAGAAGAAGAGAAATCTCAAATTTTAGAAGACATTCAAATTTTGAATCAAAGATTACAATAGTTAAATAAGTCAATTGTAATTAAAAGATAAAAATATGAAAAATGTGATAGAACATTAAAAGAAGCAGAGTCTGCATTTGCAACAATTGCTGATTCTACCAAGTCTCTGTTGCAAATTGTCAAAAGTAACATAGGGGACATCAGCAAAAAATAAAAAAATTGATTGATTAACAAATTATCATTTCTAGTAATTGAGAATAAAAAATTAACATTTTTTAAAAATTTATCAATGGTTCTAAGAAGATTCACACAATAGTATAAAAGTCTTTATGCATTTTGCAAAGTTGAATCTTACACAATAAAACCATAGAATACTGTGATAGATTACAAGTTTTCATATAAGATTATATTTAGTTAGAACATTAACTTATGATCCATAATAGAAAATCAAATTTGATTCATCAAATAGATCTTTATTATATTATTACAAGCCATTGGTATAGATAATTTTAATTTACTATTAAGCTCTGGACTTATCAATTATAATATTGGATGTATTTATTCCCTATGGTATTGGTTGGTAATGTTATAAAGCATAATCCTTGTAAAATATAATTTATAATCTTAGTTTATACAACATTTCCTGCAGCATTACCAATGATGTTTACAGTTGAGTTTTGGTGTAAGAATATTAACTAAAATAGTATTTTTGAGATGGTTCAAGAAATTCAAATATTTGAGATATGTTGTTTCAGAAGTTTACTTACATAAAGATGGTCAAACTATTGAAGTAGTATTTGAAAAGAAATTTTGGGTAAACAATAAAATCACTATATAAACTAGAGAAAAGTAAAAGAATAAAATGTTACTCAAATATTTTATGTTACAAATTTAAAAACTTTAGCTGGTGATGATAAGAGACCTTTAAAAGGAAATCTATTTCCAGATTAATGGCCTATTTAAAAGGGAATGTCTAAAAAATTGAGATGGTCATTTGTTAAATATTATTTAAACTAAAATAACTTTTTAGTATTTCCATCTAATCCAAATTATGTTAATGCCGAAGTAGATATTAATAAATATTGAGATAGATTTTAATTGCTGTTATGAATGGAAAAATTATTAATACATCAAAATAATATGTTGAAGATGTTTAAGGGGATATGTTAGATATAATTTAATCGGGAAAAATCAAATCAGATTCTATTATTTGATTTATATTTAGCATTATTATGCATTTAACATTTATTATTAAAGTAAAATGTAACAATCTACAATTAAATTAATATTTATTTTATCATTCCTATTAATTTATGCTATTCCCAATCAGGCATCATTATTAAAGCTATTTTCACCTTCTTCTTCTGAATAGTAATATTCAATTTGAACCGAATTTTCTATTTTAATTTATTGATACTTTTCATTTTAGATGAATTTTTTGAGAGACTTGGAGGTAAATCTAGATCTTCAAATTCGTCTTCTTGACCAGCAACGATGTTTTCTTCAAGTAAAGAATTTGTCAGGAATCTTGTAACATAATAAAAATTTTAAAGATATTCTGGGAGAATCTATTATAAATTTAAATTCTTTTACTCTAGGCAACTCTCTATCATTATTTAAAATTTCAACATCTCTGTCTTTAGTAATTACTGAGATCAAGGTTTTATCATAATAATTTGAATATTCAACGAATATTTGATATAATTTAGAAAATTAAGAATCAGCAAATAGAAATTATTTTGCAACTTTAATAATTTCTTCTGGAACTTCATTTTATTCTGAATTTTCTGAATATAAATTTAATCTTAATTACATTTAGTATTTGAAAAAGCTCTATGTATTCTAGGAGGCCTTTAAAAATCAAGAAATTCTTGCTGAGAACCAAATTAATTTGTATCATCAAAGGATGCTAATTATTCAAGATTCATTTGAGAAAGAACAACTTTGATAATTTCTATCAATGGATCGGATTGATATTTATTTTTTTCTTTGATTAAAAGCTCTTCTAAATCTAAATTACTATTTTCCAAGCATAAATTAAAAAATTTTTAAGCATCATTAAGATTAGAATCTCCTTATGTTTCAAGATGCTCATTATTTTAGGATGATGTTATAGAACTACGCTCTTATTTAGGAGATTTTGGTCTTGATGTTTTATAAATTTGTATAATTTATTCCTTATTTGTTTAAACAAACCTCTAAATATAGGAGTATTCTAAAAAATAATATAAAGATGTATATATATGTTCTCTTTAAAGATTTTCAATTTTGAACATAAGTGGTTCAGGTATAATTTACTATAAAAATCTAAAAGGATAAATAAATAACTATTTTACTCCTTATCAAACTTAATGAATTCTATAAATGAAATAATATTTGATCCAAATACTTATCTAGTCTCATCATAATATAAGCTAGTTTCATATTATATTTTTTCACTTAATTATTCATAAAATTCTTCATAACAACAATCTTTATGACCTACCCAATGTACAGATACCTAAATTAATAATTATATTTAACCTCACTAATTGATATATCTTAAACTGATCGACAAAAGTTTCCTAATAGATCTACTATTTCAGTATAGAATTAATGTGTAGTATCAATTTAAAATTGATCTTTATAACTATTTCTTTGTTTAAGTAAGAAATTATCATAGATTTCATAGGTTATTTAAAATGATTAAATATTTTCAAGATCTTCACTAACTCCTTAATCAAATTCTTTTTTAAAAAGTTATTGTCTTTAAGTAGAAAGTAGTCGAATAAAACACTGTAATAAAATAGCTTAGAATTATTCATTTCTAATTATCTTTTGATTAATTTGAAGTTTACATATTTTATCCACATTTTAGTCATTACCCTCCAAATTGAAAATTTTGGATATTATGGATATTTTGGGAATAAATTTTGATGTAACTCATTTACTAAATTTTCAAAAGGAAATACTATTGTTGACAAATCCATTATGGCATTACTATATGCTTGCCAATACATTAAATATTCGCTAAGCAAATCAATACTGTTTATGGTATTAACATTTATATATACACTAAAATACTTTTATAATCCTTCCAAATAACACTCCAAAGAAGTATAAAACTCTGACATTAAATTTAAGAGATCAATTTCTTATTCCTCAAATGGTTCCTTTTATTTTTCATTTTGGTTCTCATCAATATTCATATTTAATAGATTAACATCTGAAATTTCACATGATTCATTTTATAAAGTCCATCTATATTATAAAAATTAGTTTTTAAGTTTTTGGTCGTGTTATAACTTTTCTTACATTTCTGCCAAGATTTAGGATTTATATTCTTTTAATTAATTCATAAGCTAGTCCTAAACTGTATATTTACTTCATTCTAAATAAATTAAAAGTCAAATAACTTATCAAATCCTTTTTGTTCCAATTCTAAACGTTATGCTAACATGATTTAAAACTCTGATTCACAATATATTCCTATGGATTCTCTCTTCAAAATAGGTTTGGGAAATAGAGCATCACAAAGGATAAATGGAAATTTCAAACTTTATCTATAAAAAATTTAAACTTAACTTACTTTGTTATATACATTTTCTTAAGTTATTTCTTCCAATCAATATATGAATTATCTAAATTTGATAACCTAATCTTATTTCTTCTTTAAATATCTGGGTAGTTTAACTCTAGAGACATTTCAAGTTATTCATTAAGAAATAATTTATAATAGATCTCTCCAAAGAATTCTTAATGTTTCTATGTATTAATTAAATATATTTAACCTCAACAATCTCATTTAAAGTATGACAAGTTTATCCTAATGAAAACACTTCTCTTAGACTTAAAAAAGCTGATATTCTTTTATAAAATTCATAATTATAAAGAATGTTTGTTAATGTCTCAACAGTCATCTCAATTTAATTTTATGATGAATGAGATTTTTCATATTTTTTATCCATTTTTTTATATTATATATATAATTTATATTGATAATTATTTGTTGTTAAAATGATTTAAACATAAAGTCTTCCTTTAATTAACGAATACTTAGATTTTCATCCTCTAAACTAAGAATTCCAAAATACAAATATCATAATTAATATAAACATATCAAACAAATTATTAATTATTAACAACTACCTAATAGATATATCTCTTTTTCTATATGCTATTTTTCTGTCAATTAGTATGTAATTACATATCAAGTATCACAATTATTACTTTCTTTTACAATCAAATAATCTATGCCATCAATTAATATGATTTCATATCCTATATACAATCTATCAGATATTAGATTGATAACTTTGAAGAATTAAAAGTTTAAGCTAATTTACTGTTTTAGTTTCTGCTCTAATATCTAAATCACCTGTCAGTCTAGTTATGAATCTACAATATAGCTTTTTGATTTCTGTCATTTTTTATTATTTTTAATAATGTTTTTATATTCAATAACTTGCCCTTTAATATCTTCTGTCAAAGCTATTTCAATTTCATCGTTATAATCAAGTAAACGTCTCTTGCATAATTGTAAACTCTCTTTAATAGATTTAATTTTAATCTGAATATTTTGATCATCCTTCTTAATTTCGTCTAAATTATCTAAATGTACCATGGTTACTGTTTTAAAAAAGTTATGAATTTTTCTTTTTGTTAATCTTGTCTAAGGTCTATTTTTAAATGTTTAAACACTGTATACTAGATTAAGTCTTTCAGTTAAACAATCAGCCAAATAATCATCTTAATAATCATAAGCTTTTCTAGATGCACCTGATGCTGAGGTAGTACATCTTTAAGCTGATTATATTTGCTCTTACTTTTCATTATCTAACATTTATTAAGTTATTGATTCAAGTTATTTTGTATTTAATGAAGAAGTCCCTTTGTTTTTAGAAACCTTTAAAGCTCTATTGCTTAATTTTTCTATTTGTAATTCTCTTTTAGCTTAAACACTTAATAATCCTAAACGATGAAGAATTTCTTTATTCATCATTTATTATTTTGTACTACGTTTTATTGACATAGGTAATTCACTTGGTCTTTCGACTGCTTTTATCTGGTTTATTACATTTTCAGTTAAGAATATTGGGTGTTTCAATGCTTTAAATTTCTTAATTATAGGTTTCTGAGGAATTTCTTCTATTGGAATCATCGGTTCCACTAAAGTTCCCACTTTACTAACTTTTAAATTTAGATTTTCTAGTTAAAAATCAATTAGACTAGGTTCTGTAACTGTTTAATAAAATTTCTACTATGGAAATTATGAATGAGCATATCTAGGTTTTGCTAATTCACCCTCTTCCTTAAGATGGCTGAAATATTTTACAACTTTTTAAAATCCAATATATATGGATACCTTTTTATTTTTGTTCTTCCTTAATATTTGTCATAACTATTCTAATATTACGTTAAACTCTTGATTCAGGTTTAATTAATTTATTCATTAATGTTTTTCCTTGTTATCGAAATTGTACTTACAATTAATACTTAAATTATTATTATCAAATTTAATGTTAATAATTTTCAGATCAAAAAATAGATAACTATTTTGTTCCATTAATCATTTCCAATAAATAAATATAGCTTACTATCATTTAATACTTTACATACTACACATAATTAATCAAGCAAGTTAAATTAATATTATTTTAAATTATTAACAAATTAACCTAAATCTTTAACCATCATTTCAATCATAAAATAATTAACTAAATCGCTTTCAAAATATTACTACTTTTTAAAAAATTAGTCCTACGATATTAGATCATAAAAAATAAAATTTAAATTTGAATTATTCAAAATTTTTCAATAGATTCTTTATTATTATAGAAAGTTGAATCTTTTTATAAATATTTGTTTAAATTTATCTTATTATTATATTCTAATTTTTTTCATAACCATATATATTTTACACTTTTTACACTTTATTCAATTTCAGAGTAAGAGGATAGACAATTTTTAATCAAATTTAAAAGTAGATTAATTTGATAAGATAATATTAATTTAAATCCATCCATCTATAACTCCTTACATATCATTATAATACTATATATCTTAGATTGAATAAAGTAAATAATTACCCATGATGATTATAAACCCAGATTTAAGATATTCAATTAAGTACTAAATTAAATAATAGATTTTAAATAATAAACGAGAATAATCTATATAGAATTCATCATATTAATTTAAAGTATCTTTTAAAACAGACTAAAAATATAAGAAAGATCTTTAAATCTTATCAGAGATAAAAAGAAATTTTGTCTTAAGAAAACTTTAAAACTATTGGATAAAATTTTATGAGAATAATAAAAGTTAGACAACTGCAAATAAAATGAAATCAAATAATATTTTTATTCAGTTAATAAAATAGAGTGAAAAATAGAATGAGAAGAAAAGAATAATTAAGTTAATAAATATGATTAGATTAGAGTTGAATGGGTAGATGAAATAAAATAAAAAGATAGTAGTATTCTTTGGTGTTTGGATAAATAATAAATATGAAATAATAAATAATTATAATAGTTTTTTTTTGATTAAATTTAATTTGTAATGGGAGCATAATGTTGCAATAATTAGACATATTCAGATGATGTGGAATCATATGATGATACAGAATTGAATCGTTTGGATGCTCGTTAAATAAATATAAAATATAATTACAAAAAGAAGTAGAAAGAGATGAATTCAAGTCAAACAACAAAAACATAGGAGAGAACAAAATAATTAGCAGTGACATTGAAAAGTGGAGGAGTGTATTTAGGAGATTGGGTTGGTAATAAAAGGGAAGGATATGGTGTATTAAAATGGCCAGATGGTTCAGAATATGAAGGGGAATGGAAAAATAATAAAGCTCATGGATAAGGAAAGTTTATATATCCAGATGGAGATTATTATGAAGGTTAATGGGAAAATGATAAATAGAATGGTAGAGGAATATTTTAATCAATGAATGGAGGTAAATTTGAAGGTTAGTGGAAAGATGATTTATAATAAGGATACGGAATTGAAAGTTGGGAAGATGGTAGTAGATATGAAGGATATTTTTATGAAGGTATAAAATAAGGATAGGGAACATATATTTGGAATGATGGTTCAACTTATGTAGGTTTTTGGATTAATAATAAAAGACATGGATAAGGATCGCAGATTTGGAAAAATGGTAAAGAATATTAAGGGGAATGGTTTGAAGATTTTATGTGCGGTTAAGGAAGTATTAAATGGCCAACTGGTTGTTCATATATAGGATTATTTAATAAAGATGCTCCTAATGGTTATGGTATATTTAAATGGTCAAGTATATATATAATTATGAATTATAGATGGTAAGAGTTATGAAGGCAGTTTTAAATAATCAAAACCAAATGGAAAAGGTAAAGTTGTTTTAGATAATGGTAAGACTAGATTTGGAGAATGGCATGAAGGATAATTAATTAAATGGTTTGATAATAGTCAAGATGAATAAAAAGAAAATTTTGATGTACTTAATTTAGAAGACTTATGAAAATCAAATATATATACTAATAATCAGACTGAGCATTAGCAATAATATTGGAGCAAAATTATCAATTTCTGTATCATTTGTGTTGTTTGAAGAATTTGTCTAATTGTTTGAATTTGTAAATGTTTTTCCACATTACAAACAAACAGCATTTGCAGAATCCCAAGTGTATGTATAAGCAGTAGATTAAAAACAACTTGATGCTGTTAGGGATTCTTTTGGTGTGCTAATACATTATCCACTAGACATAGAACATAATTCATAATTCATCTAAGTAAAATCTAAAATTGGTAAACATAATCCTGTTTCTTTTTATTTTGATGAACATGTATGTTATGCACAAATACTTTTTGTTGATGTTTCAGTCCATTAACAAGTCCATGATTTCTACAAACATGCTTCTTTATTTGTTGAAGCATCTGAACATGCTGTCATTATTTTACATTTCCCTTCTCCGTCTTCTAAATACCAAACACAATATCCATCAGTTCCACCTTATTTACATCCTTTCTCAGTTCCATATTTATCACATGTTAATTAATCAACACATCCTATTCCACTATCAACACATTTATTTATTTAAGTACAATTCTCTAATAATTCTGAACATTTTATTAAACGACATTTATTATCATTTGGATCATATTTACATTTACCTTCTGAACTTATTGTTGTATTACAAAATTCCTTATCATAAGTTTCACATTTATCTATAGTAATACACTTTTTATTATCACTTGTGCATGTATTTAATGCTTAATTACATTCATTATGTGTTATAAAAGTTAAGTGAGAACATTATAAATCACCACATTTCTTTTCTTTTTCATCATAATAACATTTTTACTATTAATTATTTATCTAACAGTTTTCCTATTTTGTATATGAAGAACATTCTTACAATTCTATACATTTTTCTCCATCTGTTGTACACGTTTTATTGATATTTTGACATTCATCATGACTTTTATATAGAACTGAATTACAGTTTTAAAATACAACACATTAATTCTTATCAGATAAATAAACACATTTTCCATCAGTTCCCTATTTACATCCTAATGAAGATAATTTTTCACATTTATCTATTGGAATACAAGTATTTCCATCTGTTGTACATTCATTACTAAATTCATAACATTATTCATGAGTTTAGAAATTAAGAGATGTACAAGATGAATATTAATAACATGCATTTCCAACCCATAAACATGGTCCATCTAAACCAAGAAAGCAACCACTTTAAATTTTGGTACTACAATTCGCTTAAGCAATACATGTTAATCCATTAGATGTACATTTAGGATCAAAATTATAACAATCATAATGATTTGTATATGCAATATCTGAACAAATAATATCTCTACATCCATCTTTTGAGAACCTACATTAATTCCCAAATTTATCAGTTGTACAAGCTTATGATATTTTAGCATCTTTGCATAAACCTTTAGTAATACAACCTCCAGATTAGTTTACAGTACATCCTGGTTTATGTAATTGGCATTCTATTTCAGTCACAAACTTAGTTGGTGCACTTTAACAACTATAAGCAACACATTTATTATTAATCCATGAGCACTTTTAACCAAATAAATCAGTAATACAAGCTTATTCAATGTAAGCATCTGAACACTCAGTTCTTAATACACAACCATTACCATTAGTTGTGCATTCTTTTTTGAATTATTTACATTATTCATCAGTTTAATAAGATTAAGGAGCATCAGAACATTATTGTAAATTACAACTAGGTTAGAATGCACAAAGTTACTTATTCTAATCAATAATACATCCTGATTTAGTTGTATAAGTAGAACATGCATCAATTTAAATACATCCTTTACCATTTGTTGTACAATTCTTACTATATTATTGACATTCATCATGACTAGTATAAGTTTTACTAGCTTTATCACATGTCTTATCTATGCAGCCATTATTATACCAAATACATTCTGATTCAGATTTTGTTTTTCTACAATTTACTTCATTTCCATATTAATTACATTTTTCATAACGCTCAATACATCCTGTTTTAGCAGTATTAACTGTGCAAATAGGTAAGAATTGATTGCATGCTTCATCACTTGTTGTCTAATTTGAATTTTAACAAGATCTTGCTTCACAGGCAATAGGTGTAGCTTTCTTATTCCAAACACATTTTCCTTCTGTTAAACTATCAATACACATAAATTCATTATTATATCCATTACATTTATTTTATTTTGTTACACATCCATTATACTAAGTTCCATCAAAATTTGCAGTACATGTTGATAAAAATGTATTACAAGCTTTTACTGTATTATAAACTACTTATGTACACTGTCTTGCTACACATTATGATCCATTCCAAAAACAAAATGATCCTGAAATTGTTGTAGAACATTAATATTCTAATAATTCTAAACAAGTTGCCTTACGACTTACACAACCACTCTTTTTATCACTAATCATACATCCATTTAAATATTTTGTGCATTCCTCATCTGAATAAATATCTGAACTTGCAGTAGAACAGCTCTTTTAAACACATTACCCATTAATCCATAAACATTCGTATTTAGTATTCCCTGCAAAGTAGCATTAATCCTTCAATTTATAAATGCTACAAACTTATTCTAGGTTTTAACATCCTTTTAGATCTGATTTCACTGTGCAACTGTTAAGCCATTATTAACATTCTTTATGAGTAGTTAATTCAGAACTAGCATTCTCACATGTTTTTAATGTACAGGAACCACTCCAAGCACATGTATTGTTCTGATAATCAATACTACATAGATTTTCAGTTGAATAAGTTGAGCAAGTTTTAAGTGTGCATTTATTATTATCAGCAGTACATTACGACATAAATTTGGTGCAAGATTGTTAATTATATTTAGTGAGTACAGCATTGGCACATGTTTTATCAACACATTTGGAACCATTCCAATAACATGTTTATTATTCACTTAAGTCTGTAACACATTAGTTTTGAGTTGTATATGAAGAACAAGATTCTAATCTCTTTATACAACCATTATTAGTATTATTGACAGTGCAATCACTTTTGAATTGTTTGCATAAAGCATCAGTATTATATGAAGGTAAAGCATTTTCACAAGTCCATTATTTACATCCGGAACTAGGTTAGCAATTGGTATCACCTTCCTTACAAATAATGGCGAACCAAAAGCATAAAGTTCCATTTGCATAAATGCATTATGGTTCGTTGGTATAAACTTCACATGATGATGGCATATCCATACATCCTTTGTTATCGTTATTTAAAGAACATGAATTTGAATAAGTTTGACACTATTAATGGGTTGTATTAGTAGTAGGTGCATTAATACAAGTTTTATCTTTACATGAAGCTCCTTCCCAAAAACAAGGACTATTTGATGAATTAATAACACATCCCATTTTTTATTATGTGCTACATTCTGGTGCTATATCTATACAACCTCCTCCTTCTTTAGCTGTACATTTCAATTACTTCTTTTATCCGGCTTCATAACAAGATTCATGAGTAGTGTAGGATGATGGAAATTGATTACATTACTATATTTCATAACATTTTTTATTTTCAATATTCCAAAAACATGGAAATCCATCTTAATTTACTTCACAACCTATCTAATTCTCATTAAAATTATCACATAACAATTCTACTTAGATACAATGTTAACCATTTGATGTACATAACCTACTGATCTTTTGACAATCTTAATGTGTTTTTGCCTAATATACTGTGCAACCACTAAAAGGTTTACAAGTTCCCTAATTTAATGCACATCCAATTGTTGGACAATTTATCGTATTTACAGAACAATATGATTCTAAATCTGTAGATTTACGTTCTTCACAAACACCTGAGGTATTGTTCCATTAACACTTAGTTAATTACACACAATCATTAGAACTCAAAATTTATTTACATGTGCATGAATCTACTTTTGGTAAGCTCTCTGAATGACTTATTAATAGAAGACTAAAGAGTAGTAACATATTATTTTTCATTTATAAATTAATATAACTAAATTTCAAATTTCACTGTGACACCTTTATATATGTTTTTTTAAAGTTTATTTATGAGCAAAACGCTTATTACACTTCTCACAATTAAATGCTCTTATATTTTTGTGTCTAATTAAATTATGTTTCTTCAATGATCTCAATCTCATGAATACTTTTTTACACTTTTAACACTCAAATAACTCATTCTTATCATTCTATTATTTTTTTTGATGATCCTACTATTAATGTTTTTTTAATTATCTTTTCTTTGTAAACTTTTATTTACATTCATTACACTCATATGATATCATCTCATGGATTAATTACGTATGTCTTTTCAAATGATGTTTACATGTAAACTTCTGAGGACAATCTCTATCTCAAAATCTATTTAGTACTTTCACATTGAAATGGACGACTTCCACTATGAGTTAATTAATGTCTTTTCAAATGCTAAGAACGTTTAAACTCTTTCCCACATTCTTCACATCGAAATTACTTCAAATTTTAATGGGTCTCTCGTATGTGTCTTTAAAGTTTAGAATTGTTGGTAAAAACCTTTTTGCATTCTTCACAAGTTGGCTATTGTTCAGGTTCATCTATAGGTTCAATTATTTCTTCTTCTTAACATTATTATAATTTGTTTAATTTCTGAAAAATTGGCAATGTGAATACTTCCATTAATTATTATTTATTTAGAAAATTATGTTTATTTTCATATATATTATATAAAATATTCCTCTTAATACTTTCTCTTATTGATAAAAATTTATATTTAAAATAAATAAACTTCAAAAATATAAGTATAAAAAATCATCCAAACAATCAAGGAAAATTTAAAATGGATTTTTTTTAGTTTCTACATCAATTTGCTTAATTTCACTCTATGCTTATATCCATTTATCTCAACCTACAATTTATGGAAATTTTTAACAATCTCTTCCTTTTACTTACCATCCATTCAAATACACAACTCTCTTGAAACCTGATATTGTCCATTTACGATTACCAAAAAAATAATTCTCTAATCAAAATAGATAGTTTAATTACATTAATGTTCTGTAAGTACACATATCACACCTAAAATTTCTCAATAATCTTTAAAAACTAAAGATTTCAAATTCGATAAAAAAAATTTCACTAAAAAAGTAAATACATTTAGAATTGATGTAACCACAGCTTATGCTAATTATTTTTTATTACTTCTAAAGTTAATTCTTCAACTTCAAAGTGTTTTAATTAACCTAAAAGAAAAAAAGATCGAGATCTATAATACGAAATCTTTCTATTAGTTTTTAAAAGGTCGTAGACACTCTACTTAAAGTTTTGGTTTAAAAGGTTTTAAGCTTGGCAAAAAATTATTAATTGTAGTTCCTTAATTATTTTAATTTCTTTGCTTGATCAAACTTAATAGTTTTAAATGTTTCTTAGAAACTTATTCTAGTTTTAAAAGCATTTTATGCTATGTTATGAAAATAAGATCGCCTAATTCTTCAGCAAATAAATTAATTATGTTCTTAAAAGTAATATGTATACCTATAGAGAGCATAATCTTTTGTTTATTACATTAAGAACAAAGCTTAAATCAATATATAGATTGAGCTATATTTTAAGCATTATTAAAATTAAAATGGATAGCATATATAAAACAGCAAATATAAAAGATTTCTATAAATTAGATAAAATATTGGGAGAGGGTAGTTATGCAATAGTGAGAAAAGCAATAAGAAAAAGTGATAATTTAGAAGTTGCTGTAAAGATAATTGATAAGTAAATTAATGAGATTAATTTTGGTTAGAGCATCTTTAGAAAGTGATGATCATTTAGCTATTTAAAGCGAAGTAGAAATAATGAGTTAGATTGATCATCCAAATATTGTTAAAGTTTTGGAAGTATTTGATGATAAATAGAAACTTTACATTGTGCTTGAATTAATGACTGGTGGTGAGCTTTTTGATAGAATAGTTGAAAAAGAATTATATAATGAAAAAGAAGCAGCAGATGTAATTAGACCAGTTGTGGATGCAATAAGATGTATTTTTATAATAATATATTTTAGATTGCCATTCTATGGGTGTAGTACATAGAGATTTAAAACCTGAAAATATTCTTTATACAACTCCAGATCCAGATGCTACTGTAAAGATATCGGATTTTGGAGTAGCAAAAGTTATATCTGATGAGTTAATGCTTACAGCTTGTGGTACACCTGGTTATGTTGCTCCTGAAATTCTAACAGGTATGGGATATGATATGGCTGTTGATTATTGGAGCATTGGAGTCATACTATATGTATTGTATATATATTGAATTTATTAAATTTAATTTAGATTATGTGGATATCCTCCATTTTATGAAGAATCTAATGAAAAGTTATTTGAGTAGATCAAGTCTGGTAAGATAGATTTTTCAGGAGAATAATGGGAAAAAATATCTAAGGAAGCTAAAGATTTAATTGAAAAACTTTTGAAAGTTGATCCTAAATAAAGATATAAAGCAGATTAAATTTGCAAACATCCATGGATTACTGGTGAAAAAGCATTAACTAAAGATTTATCAGATGTAACTGAAAAATTAAGAGAGTTAAATGCTCGTAGAAAATTAAGAGTAATTATTTTATATTATAATTTATTAGCGTGCTTAATTAATGGTTTTAGCTACAACTAAACTTTAAAGACGCATTCAATAACATTAACAAAAAAGTTGATTTGTTATTATACATATATATATATAAAATTTATTCATCTATTTTATAATTAATTAATACAAATATAAATTTATGATTTCTTATTAATTATTTAACGAATATGAACCATTTACATTTATTAAAAGAACTTAGCTCTAATCCTCTTGATAATTATGTCATAGGTGTAAATTTTAACTTATATAGAATAGTCCATTGGTAAGGGAGCTTTTGGTAAAGTATATCGTGGTCTTCATAGACCAACTCAATAACGAGTAGCTATTAAAATACTTGAAAAAAGTCGTATAGAATAACCTGAAGATTTCATACGTATCTAACGGGAGATTCATATTCTTCGTAAATTAAGACATCCAAATATTGTCTAATTATATGAGATTCTTGAATCAGAATCCAAAATTTATTTGATCATGGAATTTGTAAGTGGAGGAGAACTCTTTTAACATATAGTTAAAAATAATAAATTATCAGAATAAGATGCTGCTCCTTTTTTCTCTTAAATTATTGAAGCTATTGAATATTTACATTCTCTTAAAGTTGCTCATAGAGATCTCAAACCTGAAAATCTTTTACTTGAAAATGACATTCTTAAAGTTGTTGATTTTGGATTAAGCAATATATATACAGATCTTTTAAATACCCCTTGTGGATCACCTTGTTATGCAGCTCCAGAAATGGTTTCCGGATAAAAATATTAAGGAATCAAAACTGATATCTGGGCTAGTGGAGTTATACTTTATGCTATGATTTGTGGCTATGTACCTTTTGAAGATTAAAATACAAGAAAATTGTATGAAAAAATCAAATATTCTGATTTTTCACGTCCTTCTCATTTAAGTGGATAGGTCTTAGATCTTTTAAATGGATTACTTCATAAAAATCCCTAAGATAGAATGTCTATCGCAAAAATAAAGATGCATCCATTTATTAGGTAATATATTTTAAATCTATAGCTTTTAGTAAGTATTCATATTCTATAATCTTGTACAAGACTTTAGCTATCAATTCAGAAATTGTGAAATAATTAGAAATGGTTGGTATTGACGGTTAAAAATGTAAAGAGATGATTTTAAATAATAAACATAATGCAATCACTACATCATATCATCTTTTAAATAAATACTAAAAACCCTAAACTTAATAAGTTTAAAGAGTTCGAACTCATTAAAGCATAAAATCTACTGTTGAAAGACTATAACAATCAACCGAACGCCGTCCTAATTCTAGTACATATCATACAAAAACAAAATCATCAGAAAATAATTATCAAACAGCTATGAAAATTCAGAGAGGGTTTGAAAATAGAATTTCAGAAAGACCTAAATCAACAGAGAGAAGAATAAGTACAGAAATAGGTAGATAAGAAAAAAACAAAAGTTATCATGAATTAAAAGAAAATAATGTTCCCCGTAAATCACATGCTTCAAAACCAAGTAAATCACCTGTAATGTATACAGAATATAGACTAAAAACAACCAGAATTATGTGATTAATTATTAATACTAAAGTGCACTAAAATAATAATTAAAATTTTACAATTAATTAAATACTATATAAATCAACTACATTATGCTTTAAGATTAAATAAAATCCTTAAGTTCATTTCCAAATCTCTCAACACTCTGTAAAAAAGATGAAAAACAAAAGTAATCTTTAGAGAGATTACTAAAACATAAACCTAATGTTGTTAAGAGTTTAGATATCTACTCTTAAAATATAGAAGAATACTTGAAAGATCAGAGAAGAAGAATTGCTTATTTAAAAAAAAGAGAAGACCCCTATTTTGAATCTAAACCAATCTAAGCTTATGATGAGGCATTAATAATGTAATTCAATAGAGTTAAGGCTAAACAATATTATTTGCAACAATCTTAAAAAAAAATATCATAGCAACCATCTCCTGAGTAATAACGTAATAGAACACCATCTAAATATTTTGATAAGAATTATACTCCTTTAAAAAGAAATGAAAAATTCGATATTCCATCTCTTTAACCTATAAATGTTTCACCACCCAAAGAACTCAAGCCTATTCAATTCAGAGTAAATTATACATTTATTACTATAGTATAATTATACTATGTCACTAAATGATCCACTTGTCAAACAAGTTCTTAGTATTCGCTAATAATGGTTTGAAGTTCCAAATAATTCTTTTTCTCATCTACAATGGCTAACGTAACTCCTTGATTTTAGTAATCTTACAAAATAAGATACTGTTTCTAAAAGATAGATGGTTAATTTAATGGAGTTTTAACATGAATGGTCAGCTAAGTCATAATTGTATATTAATCTTTGCTCTATTTCACCAGAATAAGCTTTAAAAGTCTTACCACCAGCTTTTGTTTTAAATTTTAAAATATCTTAATGGGTTGAAGATTTAGATTTCATATAAGATTATTTTATTGCCAATCATCCTTAAAAAGAAAAATAATAAAAATTTCCATTCTCTGTTTATGTTCCCAATAAAGGAGGTTAAACATTTAATAGATAAATTTCAAAATTAATTTAAGAATTTCCTAAACTATGGATATGTAAATCAGCTACAGGAAATGGTTCTATGTTAATAAATAACATTGATTAATTATAATCATTTTTAATTCAATAATACAAAGAATAAAAAGAATTTGTGATTTAAAAGTATATTACAAATCCCTTATTATATAATGGAAAGAAATTTGATATATAAATTAATGTGCTTGTTAATTAAGACAATTAAATTTATATTTCATCAGAACCAACAGGAAGGTGTTGTACTATTAATTATGATCTTAATTCAGTAATATATTTAATTAAATTCATAGGAAGATCCTTTTGTTCATACAAAACCAAAATAAATCATTTCTCATAAAAATTTAGTAGAATTTTTAGATTCTTAAGGGATATCTTTAAAAGATCTTTTGAATTAAATTAAAGCTTAAATTACTTTGATTCCTTGTAAATTAAATAGAAGATAAAGAAAATATTGTATGTAAATTTTTGGTTTTGATTTTTTAATTGATGAAAATAAAAAAATAAATCTAATTGGAATAAATGCACATCCAATTTATAGTGTTACAGAATTAGATGGTGCTTTTAGATTGACTTTAGATAAAATTTTTCCAATCAATAATAAAACAGAAGAGAAATCAATTTGGATCTGCTTATATTGATATTTATTCAAAAGAATAATAAATTAATTTATTTTTATATATTAAATTTAATTCTGAAAATGCAATAAAGTAAATTAATTTCAATATCCACATAAAAATTAAAATTTATACCTTATACAGAAGAAGTTGTTGAAACATATCATAAATGGATGTAAGATCCTGAAATATTATATTTAACAGGAAGTGAACCTTTGAGTTTAGAAGAAGAATATAAAAATTAAGAAAGTTGGTTAAATGATCCATTAAAACATACTTTTATAATAAAAAATGATGCTATGATGATTGGGGATGTTAATTTATTTTTTCATCAATATTTAGATGATGATGAAGCAGAAATAAATGTTATGATAGGAAATAAAAATGCAAGAAGATAAGGATTTGCTGAAGAAGCTATAAAAATGATGATGAGTTTTGGATTATAATAATATAAAAAAACTAAATATATAGCAAAAATAAAGGATAGTAATGAAGGATCAATAAAATTATTTTAAAAAGTTGGATATAAAGAAATAAAAAAATTACCCTAATTTGAGGAAATTCATTTATAAATGATTATAGATGCTCCTTTAATTGAATATATTAAATATTGATTGATAATTTATATCATTATTTATTGAATCTGGTTTTTAAGTTCTCCCAAATACCTCCTGCTTTTTCTTTAACAGTTCCAAAAGTTTCCATAGTTTTTTCAGTTGCAAAATTAAACATACTTTTGAATTAATCCATTTCTTTAATAAAAATTTTAAATATACTTTATGATGAATCTTCTGAATCCTCATCTTTTTCTCCAAAAAATTATTTGCTTGATATCGCAGTCTATCCATTGAATTTATAAATATTCTATTTATTTTATTCACTAATGATAATGAATTTTTTGTATACTTATCTTAAGATTAGAATAAAGTTTCAGATGAAATTGATTTAACATTCTTGTCTTTTAATTTTTCTAAAGTTTCATTAGTTTATGTAACTGGTTAAGTGGGTTATTAAGTAGATTTGATAATCACTTTAGGTTCATCTTATTATGGTAATTCTGCTTAATTTAATTCTTATTTAAATGGATCATTATTGAATGGATTTGAAAATGGATCATCAAATTATAATGAATCAAAGTCCACGTCAGCTAATTTTTTACCTTAAACTGCTTTTCCAGAAACAACTTATGGTTTGGTATTATCAGCAAATACAATTTTATTGCTTTTCTTAGTTACTATTGCTTCATCTTATAACAAATTGTTTTAAAACACTTGCTTTGGTTATTCTTTTATTGGAGATTCTTCTTCTTTATTTTAAGATGACTTTTCTGATTATTGAACTGTTTTAACAGGACTTGGAATAAGAGATGGACGAATTATGTTCAGCTTTTCTTCACACAAGGCTAATAACACTAAATCAAAGTACTTATTTAAGAAGTTCTTATTTATATTTTTCAACTAAAGGACTCTTATAATCAATTTGACTATTTCCTGGACCAATTAAACCTACACTTTAAAAATATTCCAAGGCTTTTTCATTACCTCCTACTTATAAGAATGTAATTTATTTTCTTGACCAAGAATCTAAAGTAAGAGATCTAATCTTAAATGAAAATTTAACCTTGCAAATGTATAACGAACACCATACTCTCTATGTTTACCAGAACAATCAATACATAAAAATAAACCCAATGTTACAGATGCCCATTTGGTATTTTTTTTTCCACAATCTATGCATTTCTAAAAATATTCAAAATGAATTATTTACATCATTTCCTTAAACTAGTTTCAATTATTTTATTATCTAATCTCTTTCTGCATCATCAATCTATTTTATTATAAATACAAATTTACTATCTAATTCTCCATATTTAATTGGATTTCTAAACTATTTTATAACAATATTTATAAAAATAGCTCTTACTATTTCTGAACTTGAAAACGAAAAAAAAACTGAAAAAATAAATTTAATTCTTTTAAATTAATACTTAATTTTATCTGAACATATTTTATTGTTTTCTTTTAAACATATGAATATAATAATGATTATAAATAGTAATATAAATTTAAACATAAATGATCAATTTACAAGGTCAAATATTTAAAATAAAAAGTAATAAAATTCTAATTTTAAATAATTTCTCAGATATTATTCTTCTATTCATTAATAAATAATAAAGCTTATAAACAATTTATTATTTAATTATTCTTGAAAATGATAAAAATGGATATAAAGTAATTCTCTATGCTTAGATTGATTGGTAAAGGAGCCTATGGATAGGTATTTTTGGCTAAAAAAAAGGATACTAACAAAGTATATGCTATAAAAACATTGAAAAAAAAAGAAATAGATAAAAAGAAATAAGCTGTATTTTATCATTTTATAGAATAAGTAACATGTAATGATGGAGAAAACCATTTTAAATTAAGCTAAACATTAGTTTATTGTTTCCCTATCATATACATTTTAATCTGACAAGAATTTCTATTTTGTTTTAGAATACTGTGCTGGTGGTGATTTATTCAGTTTATTGAGAGTAAAAAGAAAGTTAAAAGAAGAATAGATATAATTCTATGCAATTTTAATAATTCATGCATTGCAATTTCTGCATACTTAAAAAATAATTTATAGAGAGTAAATATAGAATTTTAAACATAGTTTAAAACCGGAGAATGTACTAATAGATGAAAAAGGTTATATAAAATTAACTGATTTTGGGCTTTCCAAAATACTACTTTAAGAAAAGGCTGACTCTATTGTTGGAACACCAGAATATTTATCTCCTGAAATTCTTAATTAAAATGGTGAAGGATATGATTATAAGGTTGATTGTTGGTCTTTAGGATGTCTATTATATGAAATGATAGCTGAATAGCCTCCTTTCATTTCAGAAAAAAGAGATCAATTGATTACAATGATAAAAACAACACAACCGAAATTTAATTTTCCTATATCTGACGAGCTTAAAAATCTTATTGTAAGCTTATTACAAAAAGATCCAAAATAAAGGCCCTCCTTAATGGAAGTCAAAGAATTTCCATTCTTTAAAAATGTTGAAGATTGGCAATCTTATTTACTTTACAAAGTTGTTCCTCCATTCCTACCGGTAATTCATGGACCTGAGGATGTGAGCAATTTCGATCCTGTAAATCCTAATCATATTTTTAGGAATTTACTTAATAAGAATAATTTGGATCTCCAAGCGATGGATCCAACTCGGATAACAGATTTCCTGGTTTTTCTGGTAACAATTCTTCATAATGAATTTAACACATTAATAATATATTAAAACAATATGTAAGAAAAAGAATCCTCTCAAATATTTGAATAGGATTCATTAAAAAGATTCCATTTTAAGAATCCTAATTCATTAGATTTTATATATGTGAATATTTCTAAAATTTAATACTTTAGATCCTAATTATCGTTGTCAAAATTCCATTAATAATTTCTCTAGCCAGGTCTAGATTGGTTATCTTATGAAATAAATATAAAAAAACAAATCTTTGATAATATTGAAAAATATTTGATTGTTGTTTTAACCAAAAATAACAATATTTAATTTAAAACTGGATCCTTTAAAATTAGAAAAGAATTATGAAGGCTTTCAATCTAAAAAGAGTGATCGTATCAAAAAATATTGTAAAAGTACCATATCCTGATTAATTTCAACGCATAGAAAGTACATTTTGAATTTTTTATTAAGGAGTATTTATAAAATAATAAAAAGTGACAATATCGATTTTCATTTAAATAATTATTTTTTATAATTGATTAATTATTGCTAATAAAAGATTAAAATCATTTGTAATCAGCGATGTATAAACTTTTTTTTGAATAAATATAAATTGAAAAATTCAGTAATAAAATGATAAAAATGATATTTATTATGAATCTACCATTAATATTTATTTTAATCATTAAACTCTTCTGATTGATTTCTATTTAATTTTAGTTAAATTAAATCTCCTAAAAGAATCTGTATATTAAATTGTTCTTAATAATTAATTTCTATATATTTGAAACAAAAGACTTCTTTAAAAACGATTGGTCTAAATTCAAATTTTTATTAATTGTATGACAATATTTAATTAAATTTTTTGCAATAGTTTTTAGAGTACTAATATTTTTGTTAAGAATACATAATTAATTATATTTTATTGATATAAATTTATAAAATGGAAAATGATCTGCAAAAAGAAAACCTATTACTTGTAGAATAGATTAAAGTTCTTTAAGCTTAATTGCATAATAGAGAAACTTTAAAAAATGAATGTTCTAGAATAAATGATTAAAGCAGCTTTTTCAGTACATTCAAATAATCAACACCAAGAGGTAATATTAGCAGAGACCAAAGCAAAAAAGATCTTTAGGATTTGACTGTTCAAGTGAAGAGACTTAATGAGTACAATTTCAATATATTTCCAAAGAGAGAAAGAACAATTAAGGAAAACATTAAAACATCAAATTGATGCTTATGATCAAAAAATTCAATAAAAAGAAATGGAATTAAGCCAAAAAGAAAAAATGTATAGACAATTATAGAATGACTACAAGGAATTGCAATAGACTCTTATAGAAGAATAAAATAAGCCAGCTCTTTAACCTGCAGCACCAACACCACCTGTTCAGACTAAACCTATTGGAGATCAAATTTAATAATATAAAGTTTAAAAGGTTGGTTTAATGAATTTACCTTGTTTAGTAATAATTAATATTCATATATCTAGATTATTATAAGAAAAAATATATTCGAATAATTCGTGATTGAAATAGAAAATACAAAAGATAAAGTTTGTATAAGCGTTTCAGACATTACGGATTTAGTACCAGATAGAAATAAAGAAGATCATTTTTAGTTAACATACAAATAGTCAAATTAAAAAATAACGGAAGTTTACTAATCTACAGAATATAAATAAATTTTGAGAGCAATAAAGTAATATACTTATTGATAATTCTCATAGATATCTTCATTCTTAATAATAATAAACTAGAAAATAGGAAACCTAACCAGCAGCTTAATTACAATAAGAATAATAAAGTGGTTTAATAAAAAGTTTGAGTTCATTTTTTATGAAGAAATGATATTTTTATAATAAATTAGATATTATAGATTCAAAATACATTAATCTCACAATTTATAATCTCCTCTAATAAATCCACTAAAACTTGATTGTATTCTTTATTTTCAACTCCTGATACATTAAGTCCGGCTTTTAATAATTAAATCAGCCATTTGCTTACTATTTTAGATTTTATATTCTATTTTAATTATGGGAATACAGTTTCCATAAATAATAATTATAATCTACTGATTACGATTTAACATTCAAGATGTCTTAATTATTCTAAATTACCATTTAATGTATCTTATCTATGCAATGGTTATGAAAATCCATGATATGCATCAAGAAATCTTTATATTAATTATTCAATAAATGATAAAGGATCATTACTAAGTGAAACTATTACTTTAGCTGATAAAAATTCAACATTTACAAAACTTAATGATTTACTTTAATTTGTATAATTGTTATCTAAATCATCAAATTCTTATGAATTTTTTTTAACAAAATTCAATTATACAGCCCATTATTCTAAAAAATATCTCATATATAAATTAGTATTAAATTTTCTACATTTTTAATATTACTCCTAAAATAATTACAAAATTTATTATTTATTTTATTAAGTCATTTGATTTTAAAATTATGTTACTTAAACTTCTAAGATTTCCAAACATTTTTCTTAAATTGATTATTTTGATGAACATTCTGATGCATTTATTTTAAAGCTGAGCTTTTTTGGTCTTATCTCTTCCTTTAATAATTCATCTAAAGGTTTTTAAAAATCTTCATCTAAATTAAATGCTTCAAATAATTCTGTTGGGGAACATTGTTACAATAAATGTTAAATTTATTCTGTTAGCATATTCCAATTATCTTCTGTTAATGATTAACCAGCATTTTAAATTATTTTTTTGAGTGATTAAAGACATAAGATAGAAATATGCTATAATATAATATATATATTATTACATCTTGAGTTTATAGAACTAATTGAACATATATTTCAATTAGATCATTCAAACAAAGTTGCATTTATTAGATTTATGAAATTACTAAATCTGTAAATAATTAAAATGTAATTTTGCATGTTTAATTAATAGATTTCTTGGATTATTATTATTTGGTATATTATAATTTAGAAAATTGAATTTCATCGAATAATGGTCTTATGACTCCTCTCAATATCATTTTCCAAAATTCATTAGATTATTAAGCTCCATGTTTTTAAAGTAAATCGAATAGAGTCTAAACACTTAATTATTAAACAGCAACTCTTTCATCACTGTATAGTATGGATAATGATGATAAGACAGGAATCCATAATGAATCTAAGAATTTATTATCATTTTTTTTTATCAAAGCAATATGATCAACTAATATTTTTAATTACTTAATAGCATTTTCAACTATGTTAATATCTTTATTCTTAGTTAATTTTATTAATGCCTATATTAATTCCATATAAATTTCTTAATTAACTTATTAATTATTTACATCTTCCATTATTTTATCAGTTATCTAAACACATAATCTTATTAATTATTATTAATCTTCTTAAAGTGCTTAATTAACAATACTCATAATAATCTTCCATCCACTTTTTAATGAATTAAAACAAACATTAGTAATCATGCACATACAGGATAATAAATATTCTCTTAATTAAGTTTTATATTGTGATTGAGCTTGACTATGACTGAAAATCTATTCAAAAGGCATAAGAAATTCCTTTTAAAAATGATAATTTGCTAATTCAGGCTACTGTAAAAACTTACAACTAAGTTATTTTAATTAATCAATAGCATAAATTGCTAAATCAACATTTTTATGACATCCAACTTCCAAAAAATGTTCTCTCATTATTTCCCACATTCTTGACCATATTATTTTAATTCTATTCATATTAAAATCAGCAACTTCAATCATTCTACTTAGTAAAAATGTTCTATTTTATTTTATTTCTTCTTTTGATAATTCACATAAAGCCCTGATAAATTCTAAAATAGAATTAGAATCTAAATTAATAGACAAATTGAATATCTTATCTATTTAATCATATGATATTGATTAAAATAATCTTTCAATATTTTAAATATCTTCTTGATTATAATTATCTTTTTAAGGATTGTCTACTTTTATCTTTTTTACAACTTAATGCAAAGTTTCCAATTTTGAAACCAATTATAAGGCAACTCTCCAACTTTTACGCAAATATTACCCAGATTGAATGGCTGTTTTTATTAAAGCTTGAACACCCAATATTTATCTATATGTATTTGGAATACCTGTACAATATCTCTATAAGAAACTTATGAAAGTATCTTTTTCTTCATCTAAGTCAAATCTACCCATTAATTAAATGAAGGATTAAATAGTTTCAAAACATAATTAAATTTATTGTTAATCTTCAGTTTATTCTAAAAATACACTAATAGAAGCAAAAATGGCACTCCAAGTTTATTACAATAATGATTTAACATGATCAATAGAATTAGCATAGAAATAAGCATCTTAATTTGGATGTTCTTTAAACCATTTTTTTAATGATTCTTCAGCTTCTTTTGCTAACATTGCATGTCTTTTTCTTTAATCTACTTAATTAGCTTATTCTAAAGCTCTTTTAGCTTATTCTTTAGCATGTAATGCAAGGGGTGTTTTTTATATTCTTTAATAAAATCCAAGTAATAAATCTTATGCAAGATTTTCACCATCATTAATACCTTTAGCTAAATTACAAAACTAAGGGATAGTCATTTTATCTAAATTTTTTTCATTATGTAAATCTGTTTATAACATCATTAATAAATAGGAAAGAGTATAAGCAGCTTAAGCTGATTAGTAGATTCCTGGATTATCAATACAATATTTAGAGGCAAACTTTTCCATAATTCTATCTATTTATTAAGATTCTCCAGGTAATGTGAAAAATTCAAGCATATATCTTAAACCTTCATCTATTTACAAATCTTTTAAATTCATAAAATCTATATATTATTGAAATACTTATTAATTGAATTCACTAGAACAACCAAATAATTCACCTAATTTGTCTTTGTTTAAATCTCGATTTTCCCATAGAAATTAAGCAAATAATTTAGCATCTCTAGTTTCCATAAATTAACATGCAATTAAATGTTTAATACAATGTTCAGGTTTGAAATTAAATTTCTCTACTGCCCTATTCATTTCTAATTTCATTTATTTTTATTTTTCTAGTGGATCTTATGATAATTATTATGATTGTATTGTTGTATCTTCTTAATCCTCAAGTTGTTAAACCTATGTAAAATTTTATTGATCTTCATTCTATTCACAAAATTCTTTAAGACATTTTATATAACCACAATAATTATCTAAACATAAAGATTTCAAATAAGTTTCTTAATTTTGAGATATAGAAGCTTAAAATTCTTATTTACTGAATCTACCTTAGATTATTCTGCATTACATATCTAAAATCTTTTTAAGGAGATTGTTTTATCCTAAAGAACAATCATAATTAATAAAGATTTCAATTACAACTCTAGGTTTAGTCATTATCTTATTGAAGACTTTAAGAGTGTATTATTTATGATCAAATGAACTGTTACTGCTATCTAAAAACTTAAAGTAAACATTTTCAATTAATGCTTCTAATTCTTTTTTCAAATGACTTCTTACCTTCCAAATCAATTGTATAAAGATATTGAGAGTCAATATTAATAATTGTTTCTCTGTAGATAGAGAATTTTTCAATAGAGAATCTAATAAATGCTCTTTTAGAATCTAAATTAATTTTGGTTTATTTTGTAAAATATTGTCACTCTGAGCTAATGCCTCATAGATTAATTCAAGCGAAAGAATTTTGCACTTGATAATCATTTAATTTAATTGTGGATTTTAATTATCTCTTTGACTCAATTAACATAACATTTCCAAAATGTCAAAAGCATCTTTACAATATAATTCACTATTATTGGAATGTTAATAACATTAAGAGAAATTGTTCATCTAATTTAGATGTATGAATTTGCATTCTTTGCTACAGATAGATACTTTAGTATCCTTACAATATTACGATGCTTATTTTCTACAGACTACGCACCATCCAAATTTTCCATTTTTGATATTTAATTCATTGGTAACATGAACTTAAATCTAGTTTTTTTCAACTGTTACATTTCGTAAATTAGGTTCATGAAGATTTAAATTAATAACTTTCATTTAATTTAGATCTTCTAATTGTCTCTGATATATTTATTCCCTTTCAATATATATCTAAACTTCATCAATTAATGAGGTCATAAGTAATCTCATATAATATTCAGCATTAACCATTGCTCTACATTTACCTAATACCAATGATCCTTAATTTCCTTATTTCTATATAGCTTATTGAAATTCTTCTTCTGTTAAAATTCCATAATCTTCCAATCTTTAGAAATAAGTACTAACTATTTTCTAACATGCTTCTTTACTAGCATTCACAATTACAGTTATTTTAGAAACTATTAAATTTTAACATTTTATATACCTGAATGCAAATTGATTAACAATTAAAATACTTTTGTTGTTTGTTCTCCGTGGATATGATGTTTTTTGTTCGTCATAATTGCTTGTATAGCTTTTATCATATGAATTTAAACTGTTTCCTCCTTCTCTTATTGACTTTAAATAACTATTTCCAAAATCACTTCAATAGCCCTTTTTTCACCTATCAATTATTCTCCAGCAAAAAAACCTTACTCAACTAAATTCTATTTTTAAGACATTTTAATACTTTTAAATCAAACAAGGCTAACTCTACCAATTTTACTTATTTAGATTCTATACATTATTAATAAACTTTTATCAAATGATTAGCATCAAAACAATCTTTATGCTCTTTTTAATAGATATAATAATTTACATTAGACTTCTTCAATAGATTATTTCAATTCAAACTATTTTTTAGTAATTGCTTTTTTGATTTTGTCCAATGATTGATTTATCAAATCACTCAAACTTAATGACATTAGTATTTATAAATTATTTTTAAATTATTCAATTCTATATGTTTATTATACTTGATCAGGATGCTTCAGAATTCGAATTTAAAGAATGAAACTTTAAAATAGCAATTTGCAATCTTGAAATTAATGATTTTTATAACTATCAAAAATTGTTAAACTACGTGTTTTATTTTTCACTAAAGTTATCCATCTCATATCCAGAAAATTAGGCTTAAATCTATTGATGTATAATTTACATTATATTGAATTTCTCCTTAACATAATGAAATTTTATTATATAAGTTCATTATTTTCTTCATCTTCAATAGATATCTAACGAGCATCAAAATTATCTTCATTTTGCTATTAAATATTAAAAATCAATACATTAGGAATATAAGGTGATTTTAATTCTTTGTTCATTAATTTTTACCAAGGAAAATTCTTAAACCAAGAATGTTATCTTAATTCATGAGGCCCATTAAAACCAAGTCGATTTGCTGGTTTTCTTTGTATCAACTATTTTAATTTAATTAAATTACTCTATTAATAAAATCTGCTGATTCTAAAGACCAATTATCAGGTATTTCTGATCTTTTGATTTAAACCTATTTAGCTAAAATTTAATCTCTAATTTCTTTTCTTGATTTCCCTGTATATGGTCTCTAAGAATTCTAATTATATTATTACCTTCCACAACATAAATTCATATCCAATAACTCCTAAAGCAAAATAATCAACAGCAAAAGAATGATTTTATCTGCACATAACTTCTGGTGCTACAAAATTTATTTATTTAAATAAATAAATACCCATATAACCGGGAGTACCTGAAGTATCTTATGAATTATCAGGTCTAAGATTTCTAGCAATTCCCAAATCTGTTATTCTGACATAACCTATAAAAATATAAAATATCATCTCTTACCATATTTATCAAGAACTAAATTCTCTGGTTTTATATCTCTATGAATACTATTCTTAGAATGCATGTATTCTAATCCTAAAAAAATACAAGCCATAAAAAATCCTGAATATTATATCTATATACTTGTCTAATCTTCAGTAAATCTTCTCATTTTACCTACATGATATCTTAAGTCTCCTCCTTACATATAATCCAAAACCAGGAATAAGTTCTCTCGATCTTAAAATGCGTAATAGATATTAACTAAAAATCTATATTTAATTCATTATTTACGGATGCTTAAGATTGCTCAAAATATTTCTCTCATTCATTACAGAATTTACACTTTTTTTGGCTATTATTCTTAATTATTATAAATGCAATCAATACAGTGCTTTTGACATCTCTTTCATTGCATATATTTATCCATTCTTTTTGTATTCAACCTTCCAAACCTTTCCAAATCCTCCTATTCCAATCACAAATTAAAAGTTGAACATATTTTTTTAAACTACTGGTTCATTTATATCTAATTTCATATTTATATTAAACTTTCTTTCTCTTCATCTTAAATTATTTGAGATTTATCTTTCAGAATCAAATAGTTAAGAAATGATATCTATTTAGGTTATTACTATTTTGAAATAGATGATTTCTTTGAATGATTAGCTGATGATTGTTAACTTGAAGGCACTGCCAATTTATGTAATCCATGTACCATTGGTGCTGGAGATCTATCTATATTTTATTCATTCTATCGGCTTAACATTCATAACTCTCTCTTACTTATTAAGCACATTCGTCACCTACTAGGCTTGCCCCAATTAAGATCTTGTTAAGTTCATTTATCCTGAATCTTATCTTGAATGAGGAAATCGATAATTTAAACTTTTCATAACAGTAATTATATATATAAATTTTAGAATTCTTTTAATATTAATTTATATTGCTTTACTTTCAAAATTAAAATTTTTTTTACTAAAGAGAAAATACCCAATAAATTCTTTTTCAATAATTATCTAAATTTATTTCTCTCAGTTTTAAAGATTACAATAAATATTTATATTAATTAATATCATCTTCTTATATAAATAATTATTATACTTTTTATTTTATTTTTATACTCATTTTAAATCTATTATTTCTTAAATCAACTGAATTAATTATAAATGACTTTTCTAAATATTTTCTCTTTTAGAATCCTAATAATTTACCAACTCATAATCATAATGAAAAAAACAAAAATTTAAAGTAAAATTATGTTCTCTCATATTATCCATCTTTATATTTATTTGGGAAGAAAGTTCAAAACATTCAATAAAATATAAATTTAAATAATTCTTTTTCACCTTAGTAATTATTCATAAATTTATTCTTAATAAAAATTTGAAAATTAATAATAGATATTTAAGGTCTACAAATTTTCTTATTTAATTATTAAAAATTTAATTATAATTAAACAAGATATACCTATTAACTGAGTCTTAATATCAGTCGAAAAGGTATATCTAATTTATTAATTAGTCTTAAATAATTTGAATAAGTATCAGATATTAAACATTAAATATTTTTTATTGAGAATTAAATATAATTTTTGTAGGCTTTAGATATTATTTTATATTTTTAGGTTTCAGTTAATTTTATAGAATTTTTTTAATTTATTTGAATATTTTTTATTAATAAGATTTTTCCAAACAATATAAATAATCGATACTAAAGTATAAATGAATATCAATAAAGAAAATTCAATATTATGAATAGTCTTTTATTAAATGCAATTTTCTTAATAGTAATTAATATCTTTGATACATTTAATTATTATTATCTTATTATTTATTTTTGGTTATTTGATGTCTCAATTTTATTAATCTAAATTTTTTAAAGGTGTTAAGTACTTAAATCGAGAAATTTGCCTTTTGTTGGTAGAAATAGTAACTGGGATACATTAATAATCCATATGATTGATATTCTATAGTTCATATTGAGTAATTAATGATTTTAATTCTAACTTAAAGATAAAAATTACTTTTATTAATCTAATTCGGAAATAATATTGATTAAATATGGAAGTGTTAGATAATAATTTAAATCAAAAGTGAAATTTTAAATAACGAATTCAATAGGTAATAAATGTGTATTTAATTTATCTGTAGTCTGTCTCCATTACAAGCTGTTATAATAATAATAAATAAATTAATATTAGAATCTAAAAAATTGATTTATTTAATTATGCTAAAGTTTTTAATACTTTGTTTGATTGGATTGTCAGCATACGGATAAATATTTTAATATGATGGAGATGTGTTAGTACTTAATGATAATAATATAAATGCTGCTATCAAACGATATGATTACTTATTGGTGGAATTTTATGCTTCATGGTTTAAATTGATATTTTACCTCTCATTATAGGTGTGGTCATTGCAAACAATTTGCCCCAGAGTATTCTCAATTTGCTACATAAGTGAAAGAAGCTGGTCAACCTTTCATTGTTGCTAAACTAAATGGTGGAGATCAGGAAAAATAAGCTATGAACAGGTTTAATAATTTAATTTGAAAATAGATACAAAGTATCAAGTTTTCCAACTTTAATATTACTCATAAAAGGGCATGCAGTACCTTATAATGGTGATAGAAGTGCTAGTGGATTAATGAATTTTGTAACTTAAGCTTTAGAGGATAAATTAGTGAGAGTTGATGAAATTGATGAAGTTTACAAAGTATTTATAAAAATATTATTCATTTGTTAGTTTTTAAGTGATAATAGTTTGAGTTTATTATATTTTGTTAAAGATTCATAGCAACCTGAATTACAGATTTATTCATTAGCTTCTAAAATATTTCCTAATTTGAAATTTGGTTATACAACTTCTGCTTATGCTAGAGTAAGATTTTAGAATAATGATTATAGAAATTGTATGATGTAGATGAAGGATAAATTGTGTTATTTAGAACTTTTGAAGAAAGAAGAAAAGAATTCACAGATTAAATAACTTTACAAAAATTAACAGATTTTTTATATGAAAATTCAACCCCATCATTTGAAGAATTAGATAACAAAAGCTATACTAATATTTTTAATAAGAATACTCCTGCTTTAATTCTTTTATGGAATCAATAAAGTTATGATACAAAGGATGCATTAAAATTGATTGCTCCAAATATTAAAAAAAGAATTACTGTAGTTTCTGTTTTTTCTGAAAATTATATGTTAAATTAAGTATCAGGTCATTTGTTTATAAATACTCCAACATTCCCTTCATTGTATTATTATAAGACTACAAATGAAGTATATAAATTAGAAGGATAAATAACTATTGAAAACGTTATGAGATTTATTCATAATGCAAACAATGGAAAAATTTAAAGAAAATAAAAATCTTAACCAATACCTACTTAATCAACAAATGTTCTCAAAGTAGTAGGTGATACATTTGATGAATTAGTTTTAAATTCCAAAAAAAATATTTTAGTCTAGTTTTGTCAAACATCAAATAGTAAATGGTAATGAATTAGATAATATTTATAGTTATGAACCAGAATTCGAAGATTTAGCTTAAGAATTAAAAAATAATGAAAATTTAGTATTAGCTTAGATAGATTTGTCATATAATGATTTAGATAGTGTGAAATTTGAAAACTATCCAGGCTTCAAATTATATATTTCAAAAGTGACATCTAATCCAATTAATTTTGATAAAGAATTCAGTAAAGAGAACCTATTGAGCTTCATTCAATAAAATGTTAAGCTTGCAAATATGGAATAAAACAATAGCAAATCTGATTTGTGAATTATTTTATGTAAAATCAGAATATTTTTTAACAGTTTATGATATAAATAATATTAATAGGTACACAAACATAGATACTATATATAATCTCAACTTTATTGTTAATCATGTTAAATCAATAGTTTTAATTACTCATAGATTTAAGTCAAATTTTACTATAGATAATTACTTTAATAATTACTAATGTTAATGGGATCAATTGGGGTTCTGAAGTAGTGTCATTAGGTAGAATCAAAAATTATACTAATAATGGTATTTATTTTTATTAAATCAATTATTATTATTATTAGATGCCGGAAATTTATTAATTTTGATTATTTTAGATTGAGGCATTTTATTCAGCATTTTACTTAAATATTGATTATAATTTTTGATCATTCTATGGTTTTTAAATTTCTTGTGAAGTTAAGTCTTACAACTAAACTTAGGATGTAGAACCACTTATTACAAATTATGATTACTGATCTGAGACACTGATTTCTTAGACTTTTGGATTTTGGATAGATTGTTCAGTAATTTAGATTTAATTTTAGAACTAGCAATCTTGATTACAGTGATTCATCTATTGATCTGAGTCTTTATTTATTTGAAGTGAGTTAATTTGATTTTCAGATTATATGGATATCTTTTAATCATTATAAACATAGTCAGATTACGATTAATAGTCATAGTCTCTTGATTTCTAAGAGTATTTATAATTATTGTGCTTATTGGTGTTATAATTATGAGAATAGTTGAAATTGCTTTATCTATCATGATATTGATTTTTACTATGTATTATAAGAAAATGATTTTACTTAAAAGGCTATCTAAATTTTTATGATTATTTGTTATAGGAATAATTTAGATCAGAAATTCTTTGATTATAATTCTTTTGGTATTGATTTGTATTGTTGTCTTAATATTATGATTGATTTAAGGTATGCTACTCAGTCATTTAATAAATAATCGATATTATTAATATTATTATGTCTTTTTATATTTATAAATCACTACTACTTCAACTATACTTGTCAAAATGTCCTCTGTAGTTGAAGAAATCAAATTATAAAGCTTCTTTTTATTTATCTGTTGAAAGCTATTTGTATTAAATTATATTACAGTTAAGAAATCTGAATATTTATCTTAATCCATTTGGCAATCAACGAATTACTATGATTCTTTCTTACAATTGAAGATATTTCCATCAGATTTAAAAACACATTCTCTAACATCATTAAATGGTGCCAAACATAATGGATGCATACGTTCACTAATTATTATTATAAATTAAATTAAATACGCCTCCTTATAACATCCTATCAATTCTCTAGCAGTATTTCTACAAAGACGTGGATCTTTTGGAATTGGGGATGTTGTTTATCTACAATCTTCATACTTATGAACTTCAGATCTGCATCTATGGAAAGCATATTATGAATGTATCAAAACTTCAAATGACTTTGTATTCATTTTATACAAAATTAATTAAAATAGAAAATTTTATATACATAAATTGTATATAAAATAAATTAATGAATTAGAAAAAAATGCCATAAGTTAAAGTTATTCTAAAGAAAGTCTCAAATGGATTCATTGTTCATGATGCTGATACTACTGTTCGAATACCAAAAAGTATTGTACAATAAACACCTAATGCATAAACTAATTAAATCAAAAATAAACCTTAAGTAATCCCATTATCTTCATAACCATAAATACCATAATAATAAATACAAATTAATCCAGCAATCATTTCTCCTTAATAATCATTTCTGTATCCCTAATTAAATTAAGGAATCCCATAAAGTATTTAAGTATAATAATAACCTAAATAACCAATTATTTATGCCTCTCCATAACAATCCTATAAACCAATTCTTTAATAAACTATGATTCCAATTACTCCATAGAATTTTGAAATTCTTCCTCCTGATCCTTTTGTTATTCAAAAAAGATCATTTGATATTATAGTACCTTCTTGTACATCTTGGTTTAAAATTGATAAAATTCATTCTATTGAAAAGGAGAATTTTAAAGAATATTTCAATCAAGAAAATAAATATAAAACACCTTAACTTTATAAAAAACATAGAAACTTTATTATTAATTTATATTATAATACTCCTAATATTTATTTAACAACTACTGCATGCAGAAGATAATTAGCAGCTGATGCATGTACAATTGTTAGAATCCATGGATTTTTAAATCATTGGGGTATTATCAATTCACAAGTTGATTCAGATCAATATTCAACTAAAATCTTACCTTAACCTGCTATTCCTGATAATTTATTTAATGAATTAATTTAATCTAAAAATAATTCTGAACAATTTTAATTAAGTGAATAATAAATTATTGATTCTATTAGAGTTTTATCACTTAAATTAAGGTTACAAGATAAAATAATATTAGGCCTATTTGCGATTCATGCTCAATGAAATGTAATTTAGTTTGGTACCAATAAAAACCTATAAAAGATGTTAAAGAAATTATACTATGTATTAAATGTTATGGAAATAATCATTTTCCAAATATACTTTGTGCAGAAGATTTTTTTAAAACTGATATTGAAGATAAATTGAAAAATAATAATATATCATTTGATTAGACAGAATAATTAGATTCTTAACTAAGTGATAAAGAATTATGTGATATGCTTAATTACATCTAAGAAAATTAAGATATTGGTTGGGATAAAATCACAGAATTTATTAATGAGAATAGAAAAACTAAAATAGATGTTATTTAAATTCTCATTAATTTTCTAATGTATCCATTAAAAAAATAATCTTTGATTATTCGTTCCTTAGATGGAAAAGAATCATTATAAAAATGGACCATTTATGATTTGGCTACTAAAATAGCTAGTGAAGAAGTATTACTTTTTATATCTAAACATTAGCCTTAAATATTCTCAGATTCTTCTAATCTTTATGCTTATCATGTATCGATTTTTCATAAACATTTTAATCAAATTGACAAATCTAAATAATCTAATGGTCAAATTGAATGCAATGGAAGTACGCATAAGGATTTAATTCAATAATAAAATAATCTATAAAATTGTTTAGTATATATATTTTTATAATTTAAGAATGACATTGATCAAAATTCAATTGTTCATTTCAAAGAAGATTCAATCAATAAAGCATAAAATGAAATTTCAAAAGAAGAATCAAAAATGAATTAATGTATTAATGCTATTATTAATATATAAATGGAAAAAATCTAACAAAAAATAGCTTTTTTAGAAGAATATGAAAAAATAGTATTAAATGAAAAAAACATCTTAGAATTATAATAAGTATATGATAATTTATAAAAGAATAATAGAAATAAACATTAGCTGAGAGATTAATTGTTGTCTAATAAAAACTTTAAATGTATAATGAAGAAAATAATTAATGATATTTATTATATAAAATATGTAATAACAATAATAGACCTAAAAATCTTAGAATCCAACTGATTAGAAAAAAAATAAAATTGGTAAGCCAAAAGGAATGAATTCATAAAAACCTTTAGACAAAACTTATGCTTGGAGCTCAAACTAATAAAGCACCTAAGCAGTTTAAACTCTTACACGTCTTGGAAGATTTATATGTTTTTAATAGACTGGATCAAAAAGGCCAGCCTTAAACTAAAATATCTAAAGTAAGAAAAAATACAATAAATTTAATTAGACATACCTGGGATATTTCTTAACAATATTTAAATATAAATAGCTAAAAATATAGGGGAATGGTGTCAAATCACTCATAAATCTAATAAAAATGCTGTTGTTTTCTTTTTTAGCTCTACCCACCCTGAATTTTAGATTATAGATGGTATTCCTTTTCTCAAAAATAACTATGAACAATTTGGAAACTATCCTCCTCTATAAAAATTAGCACCAATGTTAAATTGGAAATTTTTAAATGAATATTTTTAATATTTGGAATTTCAAAATGGATAATCGTAAATTTATAATATTCAAAGCTTTTTTTACTAAGAAAAGAATAAAATTTTGAAACAAGCTGAAACCATTTTACAATGTCTTTTTACAAAATATTTAATCTTTTAATTAGAAGAAACAGATTTATAAGATAAATCAAGTGATGAATAAAATTTAGAATCATAATATCAAGAATTCTATAATAAACCTGAAACAAAATAAGATTATGAAAATTGTGTAAAGGAGTTATTGGCATGCATGCAAATAGAGGAAGAATTTGATTAATAATATGAATGTAATTGATTTTATAGAACATTTTGATTTGGATTTAAAATAAATATTTATAATTAAAGACTTATATAAATTAAATTCTATTATTATTTTATTATTTCATAGTATTTTTTAATGATATTAATAGAATTCAAAAATACTGTATTAGAGCATTTCGGACAACAATAATTTATTTAAGATGAAAAGAAAAAATATTTCAAAAAAAAAAGCAGAAAATTTTATAAATAAAAAGTAGCCAATTAAAAAGGAAGTAGGCAAACCTACAGGAATTATTAAAGCAACTTAAGAAATTGAACTCCCTAAAATTTGGAGTTGTTTAAATATAGAAAAATAGTTGATTTTCTTTTTTATTTCTATTGGTCGACATGTAAGCCTTCATTTGGCAGGAACAAATAAAAGTCAAAATAATGAGGAGGACGACAAATTTAAAGAAAAATAATAAAAAATTGAAGCTATTCAATAAAGTAAATCTACTTATGAGTATTTATAACAAATTGCTTAAAGTTTGTTTGATTGGAAATGCACCAAATTAAATGTTGTGTATTTTTTTAGGAACAACTATAATTTTAAACTTGGTTATGAAAAAATGACTTTAATTAATAATTAATGGAATTCTATTATGAAGAATATTAAATTCTTATTAAATGAAAATTTTTATTATGAATTTATTGGGATTTTAAGAATGTTCGAATAAAATTACTCTAATATTTAAATAGTTGATTAATTAATTAAATAATCTCAATAATTGGATTAGGTACCATAACTTGTTCAAAATTTTTTTATACTATTACATAAATAAAAAATAATTGTATCTTAAGGATAGATAACAACCTGTACATAACTTGAAAACTTAAAGAAAGTTTATTTAAACTCTTTAATAGAGCACAAGTAATTCTTATGTGAAATCATAGAAAATATAAGAACAATAATGTATTAAAAACAAAATCAAGATTCTTAATATATTTTTGAGGAAGAACAAAAGGAGAGAGTATTTGATGATAACAACAACAACCCTGATATATATTTTTAGGATTTCTAAATGGAACAATTTTATTGACTATTATTTAAAAGTTATAAATATAAAAATATAAAATAAATTCTTTTACAAATTAATTTTAGAGTATCTATAAAATATTGTGGAAAGATTTTGACTGCCTAAATAAATCTTAAAACTAAATCTATAAGAGATAATTAATAATATGATTAATAGAGGATATGCAAAAATAAATGTGAATAAAATAGAATAGAATAGAATAGAGTAAATGTTAAAAATTCCTGGAGCATTTTTGACAAATAGATAAATATTCTGTAAAGAGCCAATTTTAATAAATTCTAAGAGGCTTATTTTCCAATAATTTCTTTTTAAAGCAACCTTTTAGAATTATTGATTTTAAGAGAAGAAGAATTTTTTGAGTACAAATCATAAAAAAAATAAAAACATTATTATTTGATAGCTAACCTCCTGATTTAAATAATTCATAAGGTTCAATATAAATTAGAAATAATTTATTTTAAGGTATAACTACGCATAATCTAAGTAAATAAACATTTGAACTCAAGAATTTAATAGAAAATAATACAATAATAGATATTAAAGATAAGCTCTTTAAGGATAGGTAATAAATAAAATTAGAATATAGTTTTAGACCTATATTATAATAATATACCTCTTACAGGAGCGAAATTAAAAAGAACTTTTGCTTAATTATCTTAACTTATGGGAAAAATATAAAAGTAAAAGCTAGATAGACAGGAGGTACTTTAGTATGATTTATATTTATTTAATTGTATGAAATAATGAGAGATAGAAATTAAAAAAGAAATTTTTAAGATTTAATTATTTATTTGTAATATGGCTTAACAATCAATTGATATGAAGTCAAAATTGGATAAAACTATAAAAAGAGATGAGATCATGGAACCTTAATAAGAAAAGAATTCTAAATAAATTTAAGATAAGATATAGGAAAATAATGAGACAGAAACAAAAAAAAAAAAAGATGGAGGATAATTGGAATCTTTGTTTTAAAATAATGGAACGAATTTATTTAACATTTTAGGAGTAACCCTTTATTCAAATAGAAGTTTATTTGGTACATTATAAATAAATAGAGGAATGTTTGGCAATATAAATAATAAAGAGCCAAATAATAATGGGATTGATTTGACTAAACCTTGTTCATCTTTATTTGGTATAGATTTTAAAGTTTACAAATCAGATGATAGTGATGGTGCAGAAGATATTGGTATATTTATATATAATAATAATTTAGGACAGGAAGATGAATAAAAATAAGAAGATGAAGAACCAAAATAAATTGAAATGAAATATGATTATTCTACTTAAACTGACTAATTACTTATACTTGAAATTGAGAAGTTTAGAATAAATACTAATGATGTTTTAGAAAAAGGAACTGTTGCTTTAGAAAAATCAAAAGATAGTAGTGTATTTTACTTTATTTATAGGTATTTAATATAATTATATCAATAGAAATTAAATCTAATAAATATTATATACAGGACAATTATTAAAAGGCATTTCGCAAATCAAACCATTAGGCTCAAAATAAGAAAATATACTATTGAGGGCTATGAGTAGAATTTAGAAGACTTAATCATAAGAATAATATCCTGTTTAAATAGACACTCTTAAAATTATGTTGAAAGACAAAGAAAATGCAGAATTATTTAAAGAAAAGATATCAAATTTGTTTAATTGATTTACATATATTAAAAAGTCAAAAATGAACATCTCTAACAAAATTTTTCTTTAGAATTTTGTAATCACCATCATAAGCTCCAGGACCAATTTCTTACATTTGTTATTATTAGATTCTTAATCCCTTTCCAAATATATCATTCCCCTTATTAAAAGTCATTTTAGTAAACTAATCATGAAATGTATAGCTTCCAGGACCTAATTCTTCAGTTACTTTTTTATCTTTAAATCTCTGAACACTTGATGAAAACATAGAAGATTGTTACTAATTAAATCTTTTAATTATACTGGTTTTTATAGAGATTTACTACGTTCTTTTGTAGTATTTATTGACACTAATTCTTTTGCAACTGATAATCCAAATGATTCTGGATATTTCTCAATCATAGGTCTTTTCTCTTTCTTTTTAAATACATATTTAAATTGCTTCTTTTTTAAAAACAAATTATCATAACTACCAGGACCAGGAACATCATTACTAATTATGATTTCCTTCATTCTTTTTGAACCAGATCCAAAACTTGAAGGAAAGAGTCCATCTTTTCTTTAAGGTTTTTATAAATCTTAAACAATATAATTACCAACAGGAACAAGCATATTATCTTTTGGAGCTTATCTAGGTAATTTTGACATATATCCTCCAAATTCATTAAATTAATTATCAGTTTTATATTATCCAGGTCCAGGATTTTCATCTGGATTATATTTAAATCTTGGTTCTCTACTATCAAAACATTAATTTTGATAATTTAATTCTGTAATTTTTCCAAATTATGATTCAATTTCATAATATCCAGGTGGTGGAGCTGTTTATCTTTCTTTTTTTTTCTTATCTTTTTCAAATAATTTTTCCAAATTATATTCATCTCCTTTAATAAATTTTATTTTCTTTTGCTTTGACTTTTGTGATAAATTGGGTTCTGATTCATTTTATCCATTATTAGATAATTATTTTCCATAAATAACATCAGCTGTTAAAAATGGTTCTTAAAATGTAGTTCTTTTACTATCTTCTTTAATGATAGCACCTCTAACTCTTGGTTTCACAAAAGTTTCATTTGAATTATAATGTCCAGGTCCAGGAGGCTATTATTTTAATTTATTATATTTACTTATAAAGGAGCAATAGTTTATAATTTTTGCAACAGTTTAGATTTATCTAAAACACATTATCCTGATGGTGTAATTTCTAATTACTAACTCAAACAATTTTCCATTTGTTTTATAAGCAGATTCTTCATTTTTTTATCAACTTCTTATGTCTTTTTCAACTATTGCTAAGACTATAATATTTTAATAAAACTTACATACTTATGCTTAATAAACGTAATTATGATCCTTTAATTTCTAATTTTGAAAAGAATGCTTGTAAGAGGCTTAATAAGCAATTTTATCAAATCCTTCTACTGTTTTACTTTAAGCATGAATATTTGTTTAAATTTCTCCAAATCGATCAGATCTTGAGAATTATTATTAAGGTGGTTTTGTTTTAATTGTATTTAACATATCATTTAAATCATTCCCAATATAATAACCAGGAGGAGGATTAAAGTTTTCTGTATACGTTGATTTAGGAGTTTGACTAAATTTCATATATTAAATAAAATAATATTACTAATTAAGGTTACATATCTAAAATATAACTTTGATTGAATAGAACAATTGATAACAAATGAATTCTAATTTATATTTTAAGAAACTTGTGAATCATATTAAAATTATATAAATTAAAATGAATGATGATGAATTAATCACAATAACAGCAATTATTTAGAAAACAAATAACTAAAAAATAAATTAATCATTAAATGAATTCAAAATTGCAATAGAGAAGGTGAATTCTTAAGATGGAAATAAATTATTTGTTAAAAAATGTTTATAAATTGTTTATAATGATGTGCTTTCAAAAATTGATGAATTGTCAGATTAAGAAGAAAGTAGAGGTAATTAAATAAAATTAGCATTTGAACTTGAAAAAATAAAGAAAGTAACTGAAATGCTTCCATATATAAATAAAAAACCAAAAAATTGTATTTTTAATGATGAAGAGTATATGAATATTCCAAATATAGAAATCATAAAATTAGATGACTAAGAAAGAGTAAAATAACAATTAAGAAACTTTTATCAAAAAATATCTTTAGGACATGCATATATAAATTCTGGGAAATAATATTAATCTCAAGTTATGTAGTGTATAGTTAGAAATTTAAAGGCTCTATATTATTTATCAAATTAAGAAGAAACAAATCTTGCTGCAATAGAAATAATAACAAATCCAACTCTTGAACATGCATTACAATTGTGGAGAATTATAGATGAATCAAAAATAGTCAAAGCAGGTTATAAATTACAATTAGAATAAGTGAAATTTAAGAAAATAATCTATATCCCAAGATTATTTAATTAAATTACTTTAGATTCTCTTCATAATTTTAATAGCAATCCAACTGATATTCCAAAGAATTTATTATATTAAGTAGCATTTCGTAGTATCAAAAAGAAATAAAACGATTATGATATAAGGGTAAGAGTTATGTGTAATAAATAAATGCTTAAATAAAAAATATCTAATTAAGAAATTGCATAAATAGTAAGAAATTTAACAAAAAGTGAACTCTAAATTTAAAGGACTTAACATATATAACAGTTATAATCATCCTTTTTTGGAGGATGCTGTGTTTCATCAAGAAATGAAATAGGAGAAATAGGATTAAATACTTTGAGTAATATAATCATTCATATACATGGAGGAGGATTTATATCAATGTCTTCATTTTCTCATTAATCATATACAAGAAAATGGGTTAATCAATTGCCTAATACGATAGTCTTTTCAATTGATTATCGTCTGGCTCCTGAGAGTCCATTTCCTTAAGCTCTTGATGATTGCTGGTAATATTATATGTGGATTATTCATTTTGGTTCTATCTATTTCAATATATCTCCAAAAAATATCATTTTGATTGGAGATTCAGCAGGTGGCAATTTGGCTTTAGGAATATTAATTAGAGCAATAGAAACTAATCAAAGAATTCCAGATAAAATTATATTGTAATACCCTGCCGTTAATCTAAATCTTTGTGATGTAGTACCCTCTAATCTTAAAAGTATGAATGATTAAATGATACCTATGGGATTACTAATGTTATGTAGATAGAGTTATTTAAGAAATTAGTTTGATCTTCCTAATGATTATTATGCTTCTCCAATATAAACTCCTAAAAATATTGTCCAAAATTTCCCAAAAGATTTTGTTATTTTTGTTGGATAAGATGATGTATTATTAGATAACTCTGTAGAATTTGTTCATTATTGCAAAGAAAATGGATTAGATCAAATTAAATTAAAAGTTTTTGAAAGTCTGCCTCATGGTTTTTAGAATATGGGAATGAGAACAAATGGAGTTACAGCTGCTGAATCTGCTAATAGACTCATCATAGAATAAATTAGATAATTTATTATTTGATACATCCTATTTTCATATTTAAGTGAACTTAATAATTATTCTCTATTTTTTTAAATTATAAATGTTAAATACATAATTTAAATTCTTTATTATTCGTCGTATATCCTATTACAAATCAATATGTTAATGTTGCTTCAATTCATTATTATTTGATTTATAAAATGGGGAGCTCATAATGTTGTTCTGTTAATACTATTGAAGAGACATCAGAATTAGCTGTTGGAATGAAAGAAACTTCTTAATCCTCAAAGGGTCTAAACATTCAAGGAGATGGACAAAAAATTAAAAATTAACCCTTGTATTTATTCAAATTGAATAATGAAAAGATCTCCAAAGCAAAAACAAAAGGGTGTGCATGGTAAATTTAGAATCGATGATCCTTAAACACCTGGATTTGCTGATAATAAATCTATCCACAGTAAATAAGAATCTGAATAATTATCTAATAAAGACATCTAATTAATAGCAGAGATTGTTATGTAATATGATGATTTACCTTAAAAAATTGAAGAAGCAAATGAAGAAATATTCATTTCTTAGCCTTCATTAAAAAAGAAACGAAAAAATGATTCACCTTTATGTGATTTCTAACCAAAAAATTCTTTAAAATCATTTGATTCTAAAAGACTTGATAAATTAAAATCTATTAATGAATATCGATAGAACTAAGAAGAACTAGGAAAACAAGAATTAGAAAGTCAAAGAAGTTAAAGTGCTGATAATAAATCAGTTAAAAGTATTCTAAAATAGGAAATGAAATTCAGCTAATTTAAAAAAGGTTAGAAAAATAATGATAATCATTCTCAAAAAAAAGTGCATTTTTAAATGAATAAATGAATTATACTATTTTATAAGCTATTAGATATGAGATTGATTTTCTACATAAATATAATTGTTTTATAAATATAATTAATTATTAATTCACATGTCTGAAAGATAAGTATGTAGTTTTATTGAAATAAATAGAAAGCAATAAGAGCCTAATCAGCTAAAAATCCTAGTTAAAAAATACCTCCTAGTCAACCTTATGGAAATTCTATAAAAGGATTTAAAATGTAACTTAATTTATGTTAAAAAGTGTTAAAAAAGTAAAAGTGAATAACTTAATGGAAGAAAGACCATAAAGTGGTTAGAATGAAATAAGAGCTAAATAGATTTAATAAGAAACTGATTTTTTTAGAAATAACATGGAGGTGTTTGATAAAGAAAGACTTTTTGAGCATTTATCTTAGGCTAAAACATAGATCAATAACTTGAAGACGGATAATTATTAATTAAAGACAACAATTTTATAATAAGAAGTATAGGCTAAATATATATTCATAGAAAACGATATAAAAATATGAGAGAATTATAGAGGATTTTCAAAATAATGGTAATTTGAAAAATGTATAGATGAAATTGGGAGTTGAGGTTATAATGATGTATTGATATTGTTAGACATCTTTATTTCTATAAATGAAAAGATAAATAAAAGAGTAACAAAATGAATTGAGAGAAAAAGAGATTACAATATAAAATTATAAGAAAAATGCAAAAGTAAGCAAATTTCAAGAGATGGATGTATATAATGAATAATAATTAAGGCTGAAATTAGAGAAGTATATGAGGAACTATAGAGATTAAGAGAACTATTGAAGGAAAGAGATGAAATATTAGAATAATAATAAAAGTAAAATTATTAATATCATAGTCATGCTTAGGAGTATTCAACAAATAATGAATTTGTAAGAGAGTTGTAATAGTAGAATGAAACCTATTTGAAGGATAATTAGGAATTGGTTTAAATAGTCAAGTAAATTAATTATGGATTTTAGACTTTATGAAGAGAGGAATACATAGTTAGAAGTTTAAGTGTAATAATAATAGAAATAAATAAATAAATAGACAAGAGATATGTAGATGTTAAATTAGAAATTATAAGTATTTAAGAAGAGAGGGATGAATGGTTAATATTTAATCAGTTAAGAGGAGATTGATAAGGACATAGAAGAGAGAACTAAATTAAATTATTAGGTTGAAGAATATAAAGACAGAATTTAAAAATTAGAGTAACAATTAAAGAAATTTTAATCAGACAATAGAAAATAATTAGAATAGAAATAAGGAAGAAATCTTTAGCAATAATAATCATCAAGTCCTAAAAATTTAAATAGTAATAGTTCTTAATAACAACAAATTGTGTAGTTATAATAATAGGAATAGTTAAGATAAAATAATAGTACAGATTCTATTTTACTTGATTAAGAATTAGCATAATGTTATGCAGATGAAATTCGTTGTTAGTTATATTTAGATAATATTCCATTTGCTAAATTCAAAGAAGTATTGAATTATTTATATTATAGAAATTGTCAACTTTAAATAAAGGAAGACTTAATGAAAATGGGGTTGTTGAATTTTTAAAAACTAAATTAGATATGGATGCAATCAAAGCTTAAAAGTTTGCAAAAGCATTATTGAAAAGTGATGGATATGATTAACCAATTTAGAAAATGATAAGTGCAAATAGATTTAAAAATATGATTTTATCTCTTGTTCAGGATTATATTACATATGATGGATCATAAATATATTAAGAAGTTCGTAAAGTAAATAGAGTGTTATATTATATAGATTTTAATGAAAAATAAAGAAGAACTTACAAGAAAATTTAAATTAAAATTTCCAAAATAAGAATACATTAATATAAGATAATTTGAATAAATAATTTTGGAATCTTAAATTTCAATTACTGAACTGTAAAAAGATTAATTATTTATTCACATATATGAAGTTTATAAGGATTTAATTTAATTATAGTGGGAATAGTTTTTTAGAGATGATTTTAAAGTAAATCAATAAGCAAAAGAGTTTAATCAATAATAATTTAATTATTCGCCAAATTCATAAAAATAAGATATTCCTAATGATTATATTAAAATATAGACTTAAAATTCAGATTCTTCTAAATAGGCTAAGATAAGAAGTAATGCTAGAAATTCATCTTAAATAATTGATAATGATCCTAATTATTAAAATGGAAAATAAAAAAAGAAATTAGATGAAGAAGAAGAAAATTATGATGATTATTTTGAGAAAGATGAAGACAAAAATTCGTAAAATTCAGTAAAAGCAGAAGAATAATAGAAAAAATAGAATGTAGAAGAAGAAGAATATTAAGAAGAGTTTGATGATTATTAATAAAAACCTTAAGAAGATTTACAAGATGCAGCTATGAAAATTTAACTTGCTTTTAAAAAAAAAAAATAAAAAGAAGAAGGTAAGAAGATTTTAGAAGAATAAAAAGAAAAAAAGGGAAAGTATTTAGAAGATAAAGAAAAAAAAAAGAAATAAGAATAATTATTAAAGAAATAGTAAGAAGATAAAAAAAGATATGAAGATGAATAAAAGAAGATTTAAGAAGATTAAAAAAAAAAATAAGAAGAATTAAAACGATAAGAAGAAGAGAGAAAAAGAAAAGAAGAAGAAGAATAAAAATAAAAAGAGGAATAATAAAGAAGATATGAAGAATAATTGAGAAAAGAAGAAGAAGAGAAAGCTTTATAGATTTAAAATGCATATAAATTGAAAAAGTAAAAAGAAGAGGGAAAGAAAATATTGGAATAAAAAAAAAAAGAAAAAGAAAAATATTTAGCTGAATAACAAATTAAAAAATAATAAGAAGAATTAGAAAGATTAAGGTTTTAGTAAGAGTAAGAAGAAAAAGAAAAATAGAGATTATTAAAAGAATAGTAAGAAAAAGAAAAATTTTTAAAAGAAGAAGATGATGCAGCTTTAAAAATATAATTAGCATTTTAAAAAAAGAAACAAATAGCAGAAGCTAAGGCATTATTAGAATAAAAAAAGAGAGAAAAATTTATAAATGAGTAAAAATAAAAAGAAGAGGATAAGATTAGAAGATAGAAAGAAAGAGAAGAAAAATAAAAAAAAGAGGAAGAAGAAAGTGCACTAAAAATTTAAAAAGCTTTTAAGGATAAAAAGTAAATAGATGAAGCAAAATAAATGTTAGAAAGTAAAAGGAATGAAAGAGATATATAAAATTAAAAAAAAAGTTCTAAAGAAAAGTAAGATAAAAAAAATAATGAAGATGATTATGATTTTGAATTTGAATAAGAACTTGATGATTAATTAGAAGTTAAAAAGGAAATAAAAGCTAAAGAAGAGGAAATAAATATGGCAGCATAAAAAATATAAGGAGCTTACAAACACAAAAAAAATAAATCTGATGGAAAGAAATTATTAGAAGAACTTAAGGAGGAAAGAAGAATAGAAGAATTGAGAAAGAAAGAAGAGGATTTAAAATAAAAAGAATAAAAAGAACTTGATGATGTTGCTGTTAAACTTTAAAAAGCTTATAAAAAGAAATAGTAAAGAGAAGAAGGAAAGAGAATATTAGAGGAGAAAAGAAAAGAAAGAGAATAAGAAGCTTAATAGAAAGATAATTAGCAAGAATAATAATAGTAAGTTTCATAAGAAATGAAAGGAGAGAATGAAAAAAATGATGATGGAGCATAAATTGTATTATCTTAGAAAATTGGTGTTGATGATGGATATGGTGATGAGAAATTTGAGGATGGTAATGATTATTAAGACAGATTTAATAATCCAGCCTTAGTATAAAGTAAACCTTTGCAAAATTAAATTGAGGAAGATGAAAAAGTACCTGATGATCCAGTGGCAGAATAAATGGAGGATAAGTTATTTAATAGTGTTGGAATTATTGTAAAAAATTAATAAATAAAATTTAGAATTAATCCATAAATAAAGAAGAAGTATCTGATGCAGATTAACTTTTATGAAAATAATTTACATAAATATTTTTTATAGATTATATTTTATATTTAGTGCTTATTAATATATGTATAAATTACAATAAGCAAGACCAAATACAGAATGTTAAGCTGGTTTTCGATAGAAATATCTTCCATTCCAGTAATTTAAAAGCGAATCTAAATTAGTTAAAGAATAACCTAAAACTAAAAAACGAAAAAAGATTGATAATAAACTTTAAGATCCATTAAAATTATATGAATTATATTTGAAATCATTGTAAGGGACTGAATTTACAGATGAAGATTAAAGAGAGTACGAAAGACTAATAGGAAAGTGTTCATACGATTTGCATACAGCTTTTTATCCAGATGGAGTGATTTCGTAATTATAAAATGAGAAATTTGAGCTTTCCTAATCCAGATTATGAAGAAGTTGCTCATCCATAGTAAATGAGACCCTTAGAGTTTTTCGATTTTGTCCAATAAGCTCTGAAGATAAACTCAAAATCGTTTAATGACCAATTACTATTTAAAGCAATAGAGACCAGTTATTAATTATTATCAATATCTTAATCTGAATTATAAAACTCAATATCTTCAGATCCTTTTCAATTACAATCTTAATAAAGTGATGTAAGATATAAATAATTTTTTACCTAATAAACATAATCAGGCAAAAGATTTTCTAAAACCATAAGACCAATTTTAAGTCGAGCAGAAAAATTAAGTTATGCAATGAAGGTTTTAAAAGAACAATTTGAATAGGCTTTGAGTTAAAATATGAAAGCTAATTTAATAGATTATATAAATTTAGATTATAAGAGTTTGGAAGAGGCATAAATTAGATGTGATATAAAAGGTGAATATTTAAATTAGATCTAAGAATAATGGTTTAAAACACCTAAAGAAGCTTTAGATACTTCAACTATGTTAAGAAATGCAATATTAATTTAATTATCAAGAAAAGGGTTTTAAACTAGATAAGTAATCTCAAATGATGGAAGATGGATATTTCTACTTATTAAAATGGATGAAGATAATTTAAAAGTTGTGGCAGAATAAAAAAAACTTTCAAAAAGGTTAAATTTTTGGTTCAGTGATCTTTTTTCTCTTGAACCTGTTGATAAGAGATTAAGACCATTAAGGTTAAATAATCGTTTATGGAAACCTTCAGAATATAGATGCACAACATTTTTTGAATATTTGAGACCTTAAATAATTGAATTAATTGAATAAATAAATTTCAAAAGATTAAGTAGAGAAGTAAATCAAAGTCACATTAATTAAGAATTATTTTAATATGGAAAATAGGATTTAAATGATGAAGAAGACAATGGTCCATCTGATGATGAATGGTTTGCATTTTATAAATATTTGGTTCATTTAGAGAAATGTATTTCTCAACATAGATAAGAGAATATAATTAATAGTGATTTATCAGCTATTTTAAATAAATAGATGGATTCTTTTTAATTATATTTAAAAAGGTTTTAAAAGGAACTTATATAATAAGGTTTAGGAAACAAATAAGAAATATTTTTAAATAAATAAAATATATTGAATCCAGAAAATTAATAACATTTATAAACAGTAGAAAGCTATGATTAAAATGCTTAATCATTGATGAATGAATATAAACAATATATGATAGAATAAAATATTCCATTAACTAAATATATCAAAATATTATAAAAAGAGAGATTGGCATATAATTATATGTAAGCCTTTATTGAATCATTAGAAGTTGCCAATGATTCAAAATAATACTTAAGAAATCTTTGGGATTAAGTTGATTTAACACCTTAAGAACCTTTTGTATATTTTAGGAGACCTTCAAAACGAATGGCTCCAACACTTTAAGCTTAATAATAAATGATTTGGTGTAAATATTAAAAAGATGAAGATGGAAATATATCTGTATTTTCATCAATTGATAGACTAAAATTAGTATACTTAGCTGTTGATGACTGTTTTGATATAAATTCTTTTACTACGAAAGGTTATATACATTAATTTTTTTGTTTGAATGATTAATATGAGTTATTAGGATATTGTTAAAATTTTGAAAAGGCTTTGACAAGTGAAACTTAATTTTATCACAAAAAGTTATTCTTTTTTGCAGACGAATGGAAATTCAAAATATTTGAACCTTGGTTTGCTCCTATAGATATAATATGTTCATATTATGGCGAAAAGATTGGTTTGTATTTTTATTTTATGAGTTATTATACAAAAATGTTGACTTTTATTTCTATTTGTGGTTTAGGATGTAGTTTAGCAGAATGGATTCTAAATAATGAAGATGGAGAAGCCAGTATTATAATTACAATGGTTTTCACATTCGTTTTAATTTAGTGGAATAGTATGGTAACAGATTATTGGAAACAATAATAAGTTAGATTTAATATTAAATATGGTTAATTAAATGAAAAAGAGAAATCTACAGAGAGATCATCTTTTAAAGGAACTTATATTAGATCTTTAGAAAATGATTAATTAAATTCAGCAGCTTAAGATGACAGTGATTTAGTACTAAGATTATTCTTGGCATCTATTTTGCTTGTTTTATTAATAGCAGCCTATAGTGGATTAGTAGTAGGATTGTTTACACTTACTACAGCTTTGAAAAATTCATTTGGAAGTGAATTCTCTAATGTATCAGTTATGTCTTTAGAAGTGACATTATCTGCTACTATTAATGTATTTGTATAATTATTTGTTGATAAATTTTATGATTATATTTCAACATCAGTTACTGATTTTGAAAATCATAAAACTATGTAAAAATATGAAACCAGTTTTGTTGTAAAAAAGTTTATACTCTATTTTTGCTCATATGTTGTTCCATTATTATTTATAGGTTATCTTAATGGACCTTTAAATTTATATTGTTCAAAAAGTAATTGTTCAAGACATGTTTAATATTACTTTTCAACCATTATCATTTGGTAATTTCTATTTAAAATTATGTAACTTTTTAAATTTGTATCAGATTTGGCTAAATATCCAAAAATTAAATATGAAATTAATGATAATGATATCTTATAATTTATTGATGAAACATCAAGGAGAAAATCATATGCAATTAGTCCTGAAAGATATGGTACATTAGAAGATTATATGGAAGTTTTAATCCTTTATTCATTGCTTATTATTTTTGGCTACTCATTTCCTCTTAGTTATTTTCTATTATGGTCTTTTAATATTTTATAAATATAAGTCAAAAAATATTCTTTTATGTATTGTCTATAACGACCATGGCCTTAAAATGAAAGTTCTTTAGGTATTTGGAATAACATTTTAGATCTTGTCAATCAAATTGGCATTCTTACTAATACAGGTATTATTACAGTACTCTATAATAAAAAATATGGGGAATAATTAATTTTAGTATTCTTAAGTCTTTTAATTTCAAACAGTCTATTTAAATTTGTTATAGCTTCAGTTTTTGGAGATACTCCTTTTAGATTAACTTAATTAACAATAAGACATAAATACCTTCTTAAATCAACTCTAGAAATTTTTAGTAAAACTAAATAAAGATCAAAAATCAAAAAAGAAGAAGAAGATGTTTATAAAAGATTTCCACTATATAAATTATTCAATTCAACTAATAATATGGAGTTTGGAAGTTTTTAAACAATTAGTTCACAATCAGATCTTGAAGAACATATCAGAAAAGGTTAAATGAGAGATGAATAAAATTAAAAAAGACAAGTCAAAGTACTTCCAAAAAAAATAGATCTAGATGATCCACCATATGAATTGTTACATAATTAATTTTCATAAAGAGTATCAAATTGGGCATTTGAAATTCAATATAATAATCTCAATCCTTTTCAAAGAAAAAAAAAATTAATTAAATACTGGAAATATTTGTATAAACTATCAGTTCTAACAACTTATAAAAAATTATGGACAGAAGATCGCCTGACTTAAAGACATTTTTATATGAAAAGAAAAAAATTAGCTATTAAAAATTTAGATCTAAGAAAATTATATATTTTAAAATAAAACTATAATCTTACTCATCAAGTTTATTCTGATAACGCTCAATTAAAATTTAGAAAAAAATTTCAATAAGTTACAAAAAATAGTAACAAACCTGATGATATTAAGGAATATGAGAACATGGTTTAGAAGTAATAAAACTATATTGAGAAAAATGTGTGGTTAAATTGCAGAAAAGTAGTGGTACTAAAAATAAAAGCTATTTGGATCAGAGGATTTAGGAAAACTGTATTAAGGAGATCAGCTATATAGAATATACATATATTAACAAAAACATCTGTTCAAAATGGAACTTTTTCTTTAAAAAGTAATATTCACAAATAATATAATAAATTGTTAGAAAATAATTAGAAAATGGATGGCTATAGTATGAAAGAATTTATTAATATGGTTAGTTAATTATCATTTGAATAAATTGATTAAATAACTTTTCCACTTACATCTTAATCTTTGAATATTTAACACTACATATTATATCCGAAAAAATCATATATTTTTAAAACAGTTATTGATTAACTTAGAGATACATTTATTTTTGATGCTTGGACTACAAAATTATAAGAAATTGCAATGTAATTTTTTATTGAAGAATAATTTTAAATAGAAAACATAGAATTAATCAAACATTTCCATGATAATACTTGGTTAGGAAAAAAAAATGATTAAGAATATTTAGTATAATTTTTATAAGTAACCTAAAATTAAAAATTGTAATTCTAACAAAAATTAGATAGTAAACATGGAGTTTACTATGCAGAGAGTAAAAATTACTTAAGATTATCAAATATTATAGATTAAATAGATGATTTTGTAATTAAAGGATATTGCTTATGTTTATATGAGTTTGAGAAACCTATAAGTTTATGGTAAGTCATTAAATTTAGAAAAACATATGGAATCGATTATAAATTAGAAGAAATCCATGAATTTTTATATGCAAATCTGATATTAATGAAATCGAAACCTCATCCATATATAAGTATTTATAATTATTTTCTTGATGGTCGATAATATGCTTTGTTGAATACGTTAAAGAATGAATAGCCTTTATATAATTTAGCAAAAGTTATTATTTAAATGATTTGCTTAAAGCAAGTAGATGATCCTTATGAGTAGTTAGAATAAATGGATCATAAATTAACTGATATTTTAAGAGCTATGTTAGATAATAATATTACAATTGATTAAATTGTATTTGAAATAAAAAAATAACATAAGTTTAAAGAGATTTAATATGCCTCTGATATTTTTAAGTAGCCAGATTAATCATTTCATTCTTAAATTTAATTATTTTTACATAAGATTAACTGCTCTTTCAGAATGAAGTTCTATGATTAAGCATTAAATTTAATACAATAATTTGATAATATATTGAAAAGAGAATATCCACCATAAAACAAAGATGCCGTGTTTATTTTTTCAAAATCATTAAAAGAAGAAATCTCTAAAATAATTCTATAGCCAAATTATATGTAAAGAAACTTAGATATTATATTGATTTATTATTTAAAAATTGCTACAAGTTGTGCTATGAAGATAGAATTTGATGAAGATCTTAATAATTTACTCACAGGAATACAAAGTTGTTCAAATGAAATCAATCTAATTATTAGACAGTTATGCCTTAATATAGAATTTTAAAATTTAAATCTAAATGAATAACATACACTTCTTAGGAAGAGAAAAAAAAATAAATAAAATACAAAATTATTTTCAGAATAGAGAATGTTTTTATTAGAAACCCTAAGATATAATTAAGAATATTTAAACGCAATCATTCAATACAAATCTCAATTATAGAGATACAATAATTAACTAAATGTTGTTTAAAGTATAAAATAATACTTTAATAAAAATTATGGTTTTGCAAGCTTTTTAATTGATGATAGCATTAAAAATACATAAAAAATTATCAAACCAGTATAGTTACCTGTCATTTTAGAATAAGCAAGACAGATAAGCTTAGAAATGTTTAATTTAGATTAATTTTCTCCTTAGATGGATGATGATGAGGCAATAGATTTATTTAATAAACCTAATAATGAATTTAATATATTGGAAGAAATTCCACATAATTTAAATTATTGTATGCAATACATATATTTCTAATATTTATAATTAATTGTATGGTTTGATGAATAAAATGTAATGTTTGATTAGTACAGTTAATAATTTATTAGGTTATAAATCTAAAACATACCTCTTTATGATAATTTAAAATTCTAAATTTTATAATTAATGAAATATGAAGTTTAATAAGATTTTATAAAAACTTAAGAAGATTGTGAATTAGGAAAATACTTAATTTTAAAAATCAGAAAGTGGAATGAATCAAATTTCAATGAGATATATGACATTATAGATAGTAGTGATTTTTAATATATGTGGGTTTAGTTAATGACCCAAAGCTTAATAAACAAGACCTTGACAAATAGGTAAATATTATGTGATTTTTTGGAATAGGAAAAGGATGATATTAGATTCATCTTACTAAAAATAAGATTATAAATGTAATTATTACATATGGATAATTATTAATCAACAAATATTATTATCAATTAAAATATATAAAATCATTAGAAACTAAATAGAAAATATGAAGATAAATCGAAAATATTGGAGTTAAAGAATTTCATAAAATAATATAAATATCAATATTATTACTTGGAAGAATCTTGGTTTTAACATTTTAGTTTAAGTTAACTAAGAATAACATATTTATTAGCAATATGTTATGCTTATTCACCCAAACACATTGAAAATATTTTTAATTAAAATTAATTTGAGTTAACCTAATTGTAAACTGCTTTAAATTAAATAGAGGAAAATAAGTAATAAGAATCATATCACTTAATGTTGAAGGCTGCATAAATAGTTTAATTACATGATTATTGTAATTTACTTGATGATGAGGCGATAGGATTTGTAAAATACTAATAGCTTTATACATTTATTAATCTAAGTTTATAATAGGGTGTTAGTTTATAATTTACATTTGAAGCAATAAAGAGGATTATCAATTATAATATTAACCCATCAATTTTTATTTTATTGTTAATATAATAATTCATAAGCTTTTAGTTGATTGATTAAGTAGATATATTTATAAGACTAATTTAAAAAATGCAATAAAATAAATCAATTTTATTAGAAGAATCTCATGATGGTTTCGATATGGATCTGAAAATATTTACTTTTTTCACAAAATCATAGGATATGAAAATTATTAAACCATATGATTAACTTTATATAAGATATCCAACCATTTAATAATATAAGGAGCTTTTATTAGATTCATAATGTTTATTTTATTTTTCTCTTTATCATGAGAATATGGAAGAATAATAAATCTAAATTAGAAGTCAACTTCGTTAATTGCTTTTGGATGGCAGATTCACTAAGATGATTCAACTTTATGAATCATTGCTTTTATATTTTAATATGTAAATAGGTGAAGAAGTAGATTAACTGCACAGTAAAGTCTCACGATATTAATTAACTGAAAAAACATTGTTTCATGCTCTTATTTGTCATTAATTGAGTAGATATTATGTTTGTAGATATGATTATCAATAAGCTTATAATTGCTCTAAACATGTTTTAAACTATATAAAATCTTCACAGTTTGAATAAGCTGTAATTATTAAAATTGAAAAAAATATATTTCATTTTTAAAATAATATTTAAAATGAAGAAATAATGAATCGATTTAATTTATAATTATTTGATTGTATTTAAGAAGAATCAGATTAATATTATAATAATGTAATTGATGAAACATTCATTCATGAATAAATATTGATTCATGTTGAATCAGTTTTAAATTTATAATATTAATTTCTTTATTAATAATCTCATCATACTAATAGAGGTAGATAATAATCATAATACTAGTAATAAAAATAGAATGAATAATAGTAAATTTTTGAAATTGATATTCAATTTACAGATCTACTTTATTTTTTACAAACTTTACCTTTTCGTTCATAACAACTAAAAGTTTTTTATATTATATCCGAATATCTTTTAAATAATTTAAAAAATGAAGGAATTCAGATAATGGAAATGAATTTGAAAAAGAATTGTAAACAAAGACTGAAGGAGATTGCAAGTTAAATATAATCAATAAAATTAATTGTAAGTCAGAAAATACAATAGAAAGAATTAACTTAAGAAGAATTTTAAGATGCAGAATTAAGAAAGTAACTTCTTTCTTTTGAATAGGTCATCCTAAATAGTGTAGAATATGGTATTAATAAAGTAATTATATTATCATGGATTCATTAATCTATAGACAGAGCTTTAGAATTATGTGAGTATTTTCAAGATTAATATATGATCAAAGTTCATTATTTTGTTCCGAAATTCTAATTGTTACGAATAAGAATGTATTAAGAAGGAGAACAATTAATTAAGTTAATTAATTAAATAAGCTTTGTCAATGATTCTTTAAGAGACTTTTATTCAAATAATTCGCATCCCACAAAAGGGGTACTTTATTATTTAATGGGTTAATAAAAAAGGTGGTTAAAATCTCTATATATCAAATATATTGAATAAGTTATTGAATTTCAACAGTTCAATATTGATGAATTAAGAATTATTACCAAAGGATTGTTTGAATAAAATCTTAAATTATATTAGCTTTGGGAGAAGTTTGACTCTCCATATAGACATACAATACCTTAAATTTTGGATGCTTTTATTATAGAGGAAGTAGGAAATATTGCTAAAGATCATAATAGTTCTACTGAATTAAAAGTGTTTTAAGCAACTAGTATAGTTGAAGAGTTATTAAAACAATTTCAAAATCAAATAGATTTAAATGGTAATTTAGATTTTATTTATGCTGCATCTTAATTTGATTATTTTAAATAAGATAATTTTTACACTCAAGATATCAAATTTATTTAGCAATAAGATAAATTAAAATAATAATAAGAACAAGAGTTATTATAATAGTAATAAATTGGTTAAAAAAAGAGATTGTGAATATTTAGAATGATTATTAATTATTATTAATTAAATAATAACACCTATTCTTCAATATTCTTATTTTTTATGCGAAATATTACTTTCCAGTCAACTATTGGATTAAGTTTTATGGAAATTGGTATTTCAATCTATTTAGTGATAATTATAATTTAAGTGTTCTAATTAGTTTATATTTCCATTATGGGTTTAATTTCATAATAATTGAATTTTTTACATTTTTATTACTTTAAAGTCTTTATCCATTCAAATTGGTCCATTTGATTAGTCGATCGCTTGGTCAAATTATGTAATTTAAAAATTTGATAAAAATTAATGTTGTGAAGAAAGGTTGAGTAAGAATGAAGAATGAAATTAACTATGCTGTAATTAAATAGATATGTGAGTATATAAATAAAGTAAAAATAAAAGAGATGATAAAAATTATATAATTTTTTAATGAGTCTCATATATAAAAATCATCTAGTGTTTCCAACATTCAAACATTCAGAAACTATTACTACTCATAAACCTTCATCATTAAGACCTATTTAGAGATTTTAATCAGTTACACCTATAAGGTAAGGAAATGCATGCAAGATTCGTCCTCTCAATATTACTGCTCTGCCTGGAAATGAAACAACTATCAATGGAGAAAGTACGATAACACCTAGATAAAAGCAATTACCAATTCTTACACCTCGAATATAGAGAAGCGATGAATAAAACTTGCATGATTATTTAGATCATCTAAATTCGATCAGAAAATAAAAATAACCAACAAAATAGGCTGTAATGAAAAAAATTAGAACTGAAACTGAAATAATGAAACTCGAAAGCTAAACTTTAATATAAAGATTTAAAAAAGTCAAAGAATAGCAGGAATAAAAAAAAAAATATTCACTTTTGTAAACCATTAAGAATCCATAAGCTTAACAATATATTAATTTTAGCAAATAAATATTTAATTTAATACATAATTTACATTAATTAAAAGTATAGAGATAAAATTATATTTTAGGAATATTTAAATAATTCAAGAAAGATGTTTTAAGTGGTAAAAAATTTAATTGGTATGAAAAAGAATTTAAAAAAAATCTTATTGAAATAATCAGCTGATGAATTAATAGACTTTTAGGACATAGCAAAAATGTGTTGCATTCGTGAAATACAATATATAAATGGAGAATAAAGAATGATAGACAAATTTGATTTGACCTTGATGGATGATCTTACATATATGAGTGAAGCAATAGAGAATTTGTTATTATAAAATAATTTGAATGCAATTAAAAGAATGAGCGATAATGTATTTAGGTTAATAAATCCTAGATTTAAATTGAAGAATTAGAGATTTCAAAACTAAGAGAATAATTGGGGATGAGAGAAGAAGATTAAAAGTTGTCTGTCTCTACTTTGGCAATGCAAAGATTTAAACCTCATTTAGAATTAGATAGCATAGAATAAAGATTAGGATAATTATCATAGATACCAAAATAATTCAGATAAACTTCATAAGTTTTATGTGAAATAGTTGATAAATTAAACGAATGATCTTAATCATGTTTTCAAAGCAAACTCTCATCATCTGAAAATTTTAATAAGTCTTCAGGTTGTTTATGTGGTTAAACTTATGGTCTATTTTATGAGTTTTATTAATTTTATGGATTAGGTTCTGAATTAGATATTTTTAGACTTTCTTCAATGGCTCTTCTTAAATCTTCATCGTCATCAAAATCATTCAAAGCTCCCTGAACTTGAATTGCATTACCAACATGATTATTGTATTTATGTATGAAATTGGTATCTTCAAATTAATGGTTATCAGATTTCTAGATATTAGGCTGTATGTAATAGAAAAGTAATTTACCTTAAATTCAGGGACTAAATGTTTAACTTATAGAGTATTATAAAAGAATATGGCTATAGAATTCATAACATATGAAGGCCTCCTAGAATTATGGTCACCAGGGACTATAGACTATTTAAAATTTTTATAAAAGGAGTACAATATTTTTATCACCAGCATAGGCTTCATATAATTTTTTAGTATGATGAGGTAAAACGAAAGTATCTTCTTCGGCAGCAATAAAGAATGCAGGTATGAAAGCCTTAGAAACATGATTCTTAAGAGGATTGATATTTTCAATATCAAAATTAGCTTTGGATTAAATAGTTTTTCTTATCATAGACAATCCAGCTGATATAGCAAATGATGGAACCTTTTGAGCATATTACTTAGCTAATTCTTCTGCTAATGATTTTAAATTTGAAAATGCACTATCCAAAACTAAACCGGCAATACTAGGATCTCTATCTGCATGCATTAAGGCAGTAACGGCACCCATAGATCTTCCCCATAATCCTATAGTAGAAACTTTGTTGCTTTAACGTAACCATTCAACAACAACTTCAACATCATCTCTTTCATACCATCCAAGTGAAATATAATCACCATCAGATTTACCACAACCTGCAAAATCAAAACTAAACACTTAGATAAATTGCTATTATATTTATTTATATAACAATACCGGAAGAAGAACAAATAATGAAGGCAAACACTCTAATCTGTTACTACTATTACCATGCAAGTATATTACACATGGTAATTGTTCACATGGTTTTTAAACTGGCTCAAAAAATGAGCATTCCAATTTTAGTCCTCTCTTATTTTTTATTTAAAAGTCTTTTCTCTTAATCTATACTCCTTATATTTTTGATTAACTTAGATCTAAATATACATATTTATGATACCTAAATCTTACTCTGTATACTCGTTATCTCTTGGAGGTCTTATAATGGCCTTCCATAAATCATCGTAACTTGTAGATAGTGATGAAAACATATATTTTAATTTTAATTCATCATTCCTTTATAATATCCATTTGTATACGAATCGATTCATTCGAACCAAAATTTTGTTGAAATCTACTTGCTTTAGGTGATCCATCTTCATCCATATCTTCTTATAATTCTAACAACATTTCAGATTCTTGATTTAATAACAAATTTGCTATCAAAAGTGGTTTTACTTTCTTCTCTACTCCAGCCTAAGTTAAATGTTCCTTTAAATCATATATTTTCCTCTCCAAAGTCTCGATTATCTCTCTCCAAGAATCTATCTTCTCAGTTTCTAATAAAGTTAATTACTCAAATCTTTATTCTATTATCTTTCTCTATCCTATCCATCCATCAATTAATTTTTAAAACTAGCAATTTTTATTAACTATTCTTACTTATATCATTATCTCGGTTTTTGTCCCTTTTATTTATAAAAATTAGTTTTAAGCTTCTTCTGAAAATAAACCGTATTCTACACACACTACTGCAAACTTTTCAAATGAAAAATTCTATTCTCCTTTAATTAGTAAATCAGCATTTGTGAAGAATATTTCAGAAATCTCATCATTTGTTAATCTATCAGGTTCTATATGTCTAAGTAATAAATACCATTCTTCAAAATTACACATTCCATTCCCATCTAATTTAATATATATTATGTTATTACCTAAATCACATGCAGCAAATGCATTGATTACATATTCTTTAGCTCTACTTACTAATATTTTATATTTCACAAACATTTGAATCATAAATTAATCAAAATCTATGACTGGTTATCTATTAGTTGTTTTTGTATCTACTTCTTTTAATAAATCTAATTCCTTTTTCAATTCCTCTTTCTCTTCAATTGTCATTCTTGAATCTGCAAACATTCCTATATATTGTTATGCTCTAACGTAAGGTACAAAATATCTGACCTCTGATTCTTAATCTCCTATTGATATACCCAAAGTTGAAATATTTGTCACATAATCAAAAGCTTCCAAATATTTTTTCATCTCATCTATTGTATAATTAACACAGTCATCAAATAAACCTAAGAATTTTGCAAAATTGTTAATTCTTACCAGTTATTTATAATGTTTGACAGATACTAAGAGAATCAAGAATTTCTATTCAGCTATCTTTTTTATACCAAATTATTGTAAAAAATAACTATAAACAAATGAAGCCATATCTTAATCTTTAAAAGCTTAATTATCTTTTTACTGTTGTATTCTATCTTAATAAATTACAGTTATTTGTTTTAAAAGTAATTTTAAAGGCATAAAATGCTTAATTTTTGGTAATTACTTTAATTTAATTTTTTCAACCAATTATGGACCTGCATTAATTTTTTAGAATTCATATACTATATTTACTTTCTGACCCAATTAAGGACCTTTGAAAATCAATTTAGCTTAATTTAACTTCTTATTATCTTTCTATCTTCTAATCATTTTCTAAGATGAATTGAATTTTGCAAATTATTCAGGAGATGACTCTCCATCCAATTGTTATTATGTCATTTACTATTGTTATTATTACTCTTTCAAAATTTTAAATGTTCCAATAGATACTGCTCTACTTCTTGTGTCTTCTAATTCTTGTATGTGTTAATTACATCTTTCATTCATCTAATCAATTATATATTAAAGTTCTTTGTTTTTATTTTCCAAACTCTGCATCATTATAACAAGAGTTTTAACTTTTTCTAAATCTAAATATTTATCGGAATTATTATCCATGCTCTAATCATTGCTAGTTACTTACTCATTTGATTAATTGATAGCTTTTTTAGATCTAAAAGAATCTTGTCTTAATTGAGTTATTTTATTTATTCCTGGTGAGGGTAAATCTTTATTGAGAAATTTAGATTCAATAATCTAATTTAATTATCTTCCTGAAAATCCTTTATTTGGTTTGTCTTCACATAATTTTAGAGCCTCTTCTACTTGGCTTCTTTATTTATATTGATCCAATACACTATAGATTTTAGCTTAAGAATCAGTAATCAAATTGTAATCCTTTGCCATCATTGTTATATTTGTTTGGATTTCTTAAGTTTTCTAATATAAATGTAGAATGTCTGGTTCAACTTAAGTTTCTACACAAGCTACTTTTATAATCTTATCCATATTCATAACCATATTATCCATCTCTATTATATTTTTATCATCCAATAAACCCTCCATCAAATCATCATCTTCAGATGAACTTGATTTCTCTTATTAAGTTTATTGTATTTAAGAATTACCTAAATAAGACATTCTTCTTCCTGATTATATTTAATTTTAATTGGTTATATGTTACAAGACTTTCTGTGGCTAAGATTATTATACCTGGTTTAATAAAGGAGGTTGCAAAATTTATGATTATCTTTATGAGAACATACTCTCTTATTTTATTAAAATCTTTTAACTATTACCCTATTAGTGACTACTATTAATGTCCTTTTGATATTATTACTATTATGATTCTAATTACTTTTAAGTAATTGTTTACAATTTTCTATTTAGGATTTCTATTTCTTAATGAGATTGCTTTAATTTCTTTTATAAAAATGATGCAATTTTTCTTAAATCATTTAATTATGCTCTGTTTTTTTTGAAATTGGTCTCTAATTCCTAATATTCTTATTTGCAAACGTTGTGTTGAACAACTTCTTAAGAGTATTTAAATGAAACATCTTAAATCTAAGTTTATAAATCAGACATTTTTTCTTAATAAATAAAAAAAACTTTAGCTTATTCATCCATTACTAAGACATCATTTTTTTTAACTAATAATTCAGCATCAAATTAAATTTTATTAACCATATGAATAACTTTTTCCCAAATTTATTCAACTAACTCTCCTCTTTCTAAACATTCTCTTTTCAATGATTTAATTAATTCATTCATTGTAACCGTTAATAGTGGTATCAAATCTTGAGATTATTATTTTTAAAACCAATCTTTTAATTGTATACTCTAAACTCTTCCACCTGGATCTTCTGTATGCAAAGAGGATATTTCTTTATTCAAACTACCTTCTAATTTTTAATATTCTTTCATATTAATCAAATGAATCTGTTATCCACTACGTGATTTTTTATGGAAAGTTGTTCCTTAACGTCTGGACTAAAAGCTGCGTTACTCCCCTATTTATGAAAATAAACTTACTTGTTGTTTTAGGCTATCTTATTTAATCATAAAAATGACTGACATCATCACGTACTTTAGAAATAGTAAGTCTTTGAAACTTTTTGTCCATCAACAATTTTTATTAGGTCATTTATTAAATTTTAGTTTGTTTAATAAATTCTGAAAGATCTAAGGAAGTTTTTGGAGAATGCTAAGTTGATTTGCAACTTGTATGTAAGCTTAATGCTTCTTATTTAGCCTTTCTAATTTAATCACTTATATGCTAATTATTAATGGTAACAGTCTGATTCATGAATGATGGAGATGACTGTGTATCATTTCTTTCTTCAATCTCTCTAAGCTTAGCCAATAGTAACTTGTTAGTAATCTATTTTTAAGCAAACATATAATAATTTAATTTATTATGATTATATATATATATTTATTCACTTTTTTAATACTCTACTTGATTCTAAACATTCTTTTTTGATGTATCCATTAAATTTCCCATCTCCAATATATGCTAATTCAGCTAAGTTACTTTTGGATACTTAATATTCAGGTTCAAATCTATCTTTCATCAATTATAAAAATTCTTCTTTGAACTTGTCCTATTATTGTTAAAATTATCTAGTTTTAATTGCTGGCAATAATTTATTGTTCATAAAATCTCTTACTCTTTTGAATCTACTTCTAACTAACTACATCTAAATTTCTAACATATCAGGAATTAATTTGCCAAATTTCTCTTTTCTACCCTCTGTAACAGCCAAGAAGTTCGGATTTCTATTGCATTCAAAAATCCATAGATTCAAATCATCATCAAGTATGAAATCAACTCCAAAAAACTCTCCTACCCTACTATCTTTCAATAAATATTTTTCAACTGAAAAAAATAAATGAGTAATTTTTCTCATTATCTATGGATAAAGTTCTTCTTTCAACCAATTTCGAGATTTTATTTTTCCTTACTGTATTAAAATATCTTATAACTCTTCTAAATTCCAATCAATATATAGATCATCATCTTATTCTTGGCCAGTTTATTATTTATGTGTTTTTGTTACTGCTGTGTTACACACATGTGCTTCTTTTGTAAAATCTAATAAATCAAACTTTAAAGCACATTATTTTATCAACGCTTTCTTATATCCATATAAGATAGGTGGATTAGTGGATGCTATCTAAAAATAAGATCTAAACTCCATTTTATGTCCTTTAAATAAATAAGGATTTTTTAGGTACTCCTAAATTATCACTTAAGATTAATTGCGTCCACAAGCTAAGCTATCTTTATACCATGATCTAATTATCTTTTCATTTTCATAATCTAAAAGCAATATACCATTTCCTAGATGTCTATTTGTTTTGTATATATATTGAATTCCTTCATTTTCCAATTTATCTTTATATTATTATGTGTTTATAATTTCAAAGAAATTTTCACACTCTTCTTTTAACCACATCCTAAAAGTAGGTTTCTCGTAACTTGCATCTTTGATACATTCTGCACTCTTATTTTCTAATTTCAAATTATCAATATAATTATGAAAATGAGTAGATTGATTTGATTTTAATGCAATTTCCTCTTATCCTGGAACATGGAAATATTTCTAAAAAATACATCCAGCCTGTTTTCCAAATGTATGTGTTCGAAAATAATTTTTAGCATATGGATATACAATTGATGTTTCTAAAGGAGTTTAATGATATCCAATTTCAATCTATCTTGCCTGTACAAAACTAGGTAAAGCATCATACATATTTTGCTGAATAATCTTTCTTGCCAAATCTTAACCACCATAATCTCTTAATACCATTTAATCCTGTATTATTACTTCTGGATGCAAAATTTTAAAAAGGTCACTTCTAACACAATAAGAGTTATCATGCACTAAAGCAATCTCATATCCACAATTTCTATGTATTTAAACTCCAATACTTGCATGGTTGAAAATGAGATTAGGTCAAATCAATAGTCTATTCTAGCCATCTTGACATTCCTTTCACAGCTTCATTATAATATCTATAATTCGCTGATCCTTCTGATAAATTTGCCCTGTGATACATGTAAACTATAAATAATACTATCCCAGATGCCAAACTTAGCAAAAATGATTATAGCATTATTATTATTATTAACAATAATATATACTCTCAATTCAATTTCAAATATATATTATTTTTATTACATATCTTTAGTTTCCATCCTCACATCAACTATCTCAAAATAATCATAGCTTTTAATTGATATACATATATATTTGGATCTATCAATAATAACTTTTTTGTTTGATAAATATTATCAAATTCTTACCTTCTATCTAAACTTTTTTTATTTTAGAATCCAAAATAAACGAAAAAATATGTTTAAGGTCATCATAGAATAGGAAATGCATAATTTTATTTTTATTTATATTTAATTTAAATATTAAAATGGAAATCATAGAGTGGATTGGAATAATAGTTTTTTGTTATTTTGGTTATTTATTAGTAAAAGAAGTTAAAATAATCTTATCTGGAAATTCTAATGTGCAATAAAAATATGGATAAGGATGTTGGGCTTTAGTAACTGGTGGTACAGATGGAATAGGAAAAGGATTTTGTTAAGTAAATAATATTGATAATATTAAGGAATTTGCTAGATAAGGTGCTAACGTTTGCATTGTCGCTAGAAATAAATCTAAAGCAGAAAATTTGATAAAGGAGTTAAAAGAGATAAATAATAAGCCATAATACAAAATTGTGATTGCGGATTTTTAGGATTGTCTTAAAGACACTTTTTTTGAATAAATATATTCAGAAGTGAAAGATTTGGATATTGGTGTTCTTGTCAATAATGTAGGTGTATTAACTGTTGGAGAATTTGATAAGACTTTAGATATTGATCAATAAAATTAGATTATCATTAATTGCATACCTGTAGTATTTATGACCAAATATATATTACCTATTTTGAAAAAAAGGAAAAGGTCAGGAGTTATCAGTCTATCTTCTTTAACAGGAAGATTTGCCTATCCTTATTATCAAGTATATTCTGCAACTAAAGTAATAAAAATATTTACACTTAAGGCATTTAATGATAATTTTACAAGATCACTACAAATTGAAGTTGAAAATGTTGATTTTTTATCATTATAACCTGGATTTGTTTAAACAGCTATGGTTAAAAATTAAACTGATATTCTCACAGTTTCCACATAACAATGTGTCACAGCAGCTCTGTAGATATTATAGTAAATATAGATCGCAATTGGGATTGAAAGATGCAACAGCAGGACACCTGATCCATAGATTATAAACATTTATTTTTAGTTTATCCGAAGGAAAACTTATGGATATTATCTCACCCATAATTGCAAAATAATTATATAAATAAAAACATTGAAAATTGTTTATAATTTACACATTCTCATATTTCTTCTTTTAAAATTTCTTCTTTCCAAAAAAAATCTCAATTCATATCTAATTAAATGAAAAACTCCTAACTTGTAGAAAGCTATCCAATTTTATAGGGCTCAAGAATTCTGTATATATCAATCATCATAATATTAAATGTATTCCTCGTGACTTTGGTTAACACAATATTATTTGCTTTTCCAGATTTTTCATCTAATCAATTCAAAAATCTGTTCTAAAATAGTAAATTTTATTTAAATTTTAGCTCTTTCCTAATTTTGGTTGACTAAAATAAAATTGATTCAAATTATCTTCTTTTAATTTATTTAACAAAAATTAAACTTTGTCATTTATTTTCTTTTACTTCATTGATCTCTCAATTTGTGAAGGAGGTACTGATCATCTAAAAGTTAAAGTAATAGCTGTAGATGATTTCTTTAAATTATTCAAATATGGGTAGCCGACTCTTAAGATTTTGTAGTTAATCTGTTTGATAATGATTTTAATACGATGATTATTTATACAGTTAATTTAGAGTTATTAATTTTATTGTTGTTCTCTAATGATAATTTATTACCATAATTTGCATTTTTGCTTTAATTATAAATTCTTTAAAAAAAATTCCACAACTCTAAGAATAAGTTTAGTAGATTACTAAAAATCATTTTTCAATTCCAATCGGTCAAAGGAATTGAAATCAATTAAAGTTGAATAGAAGTAGACTTTAATAATATTCATCGTAAAGAAGTCTGTATTAATTTTAACAATTTTTTTGAAAAATCAAAATTTTTTAAATACTTAAAATCCATCTTTATCTTAGAAATTTGTTAGATTCCTTCTATAACTTCATAAAATGTTTAAAAATTAATTCTTTGGTTAGACTCATTTTTAGCTATGCAAAATTTAATATAAAATTGTTAATAAAATTTTGCAATTCATTTGTATTTTTTTTGGTTCTACAATATCTGCAAAAATTAATTAATTAAGGGTTTCTAAAGCTTTTATCTTATATATCTCTTTTTAATTCAAGAAATTCTTTCCAATCAATGGATAAAAAATGAATTATCTTTTTTATATTTCTTCAATCCACAGTTAAGCCATGAAGAAATTTGAATTTTAATGACAGCTAATTATTTTTGTCCAACTGATAAGAATTAATAGTAATAACATTGATAACTTATTCTTGAAAATATTAAAATTTTGTATAGTTAAATAACATCTTTTTTTTAAAAAAGAATAGTGTTAATTTAATTTTATTTTTTTGGCTACAGAATTTTTAATACTCAGATATTATTTGACCATTTTTAAATATAGTATTACAAATCCAATAGATTTGAAACTTATGAAGTTGCTTGTATATTTGAATCATTTTATTATCGAAATCATTTTTTTCTAATGCTAAAAAAACTTTTTGATGATTAATTACCTATTTTTATTTATCCTGGATTAATATTTACTCAATAATCCTAATTTTTCGAATTAATATTTGTTGAAAACTAATATTTGCTAAGTAGAAAAAAAATTAAATAGTATTTAAATAATTTTTCTAATTTTAATTTTTTAAAATTGCAAAAACATTAAAAAGTTAGATTTAAAATTGATTGGTAATCAACAAATATATAATTATTGTGTTGTGAATCTTGAAAGGAATAAATAAATAAGAAAATTGTACCCTATAACAAATAATTTTATGAGATAAAAATAATATTTTGATTTTAAAGGATGAGATTTTGATAATTCAATTAATTAAACGAAACCTTAAGGTATTTTAAAAAAATTTTATCAGTATTTGTTGTTTTTTATTATTTTTCCTAAAAATTTCACCATACTTTATAGCTAAGGCATCGAATCTTTTTCTGCTTTGTTAAGCAAGTTGAAATTCAAGATTTTTCATTTTTCTTTAAATAAAGTTTATTTGAAATTATCAGCAGCCTCAAATATGTTGTTATTTTTTTGCCCAAAATTTCCTACATATATTCAAAGAGATGATGATATTATAAATTACAATTAATGATAAAAAAAGTAAATACTTGTTTAGTAACGATTATTATACCTTGGATTCATAGTTATTTCTAAAAACTATTATTGATGTTACGATTATGACTATAAATTATTTAATCTAAATATTTTTAAAATCATATGGAATCGTTATTCTAATCTTGTGGTGATTCTTCGAAATAATTAAAGTCAATGAATAAGGCAGCCGCCAATAGTAGGGCCTTTTATCTACTTGTTGATTACTAAGGAAATTATAATCTAAAATTTGTTGCATCCACATTACAAAGTGCATTACAAAATCCAGCAGATTCTTTCCATAATTCTGAAACTTTCTTAACATATATTGATTAAGAGTACCTGTCCTTGCGAATCAGTTATATCAAACCTTGCTCTTTAGCATGTTTCACAAGGTAGTTATACTAAAAATGGCCATTAACAGCAGCTTCCTTTTACAGAATATTATAAAGTGTTATTTTCATCTCTTATTTCAACTCCTTTATCGCAGCACATAAAGGGATAACATATATAGCCTATTTTGCCTCCATTTTCTAATTAAACCTCCATCATAGGTCTGAAATTATATTTTTTGTTTACCGAGCTAAGCAAAGGAATGTACATTTGAATTCTCTACTCAATCTAAATACTGTATTTGTGTTTTATTTTTAGTCATATTATTTGACTTTGAGATCAAATGCACGGCAAGCTCCTGGAAGAAAATTTCTTTACCAACAACTACTCTCCTCCTTACATTTAAAAATTGGAGCTTAATGCTTAAAATCAGGTTTATTTCCCAAGGTATCAGATTAATAAACATAATAAACATTTTTTTTCTCACAGAATCCTAAAGATTCTAAATAATCAGGACGTTATTTGATATAAACACTTGGACATCTTGATATTGCCTCTAATCCTGAATTGAATGAAGTCTATTTCTGGTTATATAATTACATTAATCTATCCAGGGTTAACATAATATTGTTAAGGTGATTAGTATGCTGGTTAGTATTACATTTAGCAAAATTTATTTAATTAATAATTGAGATAATTAAATTAGAAATAACAAATTTTTATACAAATAGATAAATATGATTTTTGCGTTAGATTCAAATTTTTAAGAAATCAATAAATAATTTGCCTAAAAATATTATTATTTATATAACTAAATTAAAAGTGATTATTATATTGAAGCAATTTAAATTTCAGTTCTTGAATGATAAAACTTTAGTCTTGAAATTGAGTTTATTTGATTAAAAATACCTTCATTTTAAGTTTGAATAGTAATTATTTAGAACTATTTAAGTGAAAATTAAAAACTAACAACCCTTATTTATTAATTTGAAAGTTTATGAAGGCTCTATTATATATTCCATGAATAATTTATGAATAATGCAATCAGTGATCTTTCATACTAAGAATATTAAAAGCTTAGTTAAACGGATCATTATCTAGTTATTGTACAAAATAAAGAGTGACACAGTACAAAATCAGCAATTTATGTGAATATGAGTATGATATAAATAAATAATTATATTCAACAATGGAAAATAACCAAAATTATGGCATTATTTGTTTTATTTTGGTTAATAAAAGTATTTTATAATTATAAATCGGCTTGGTCATCTTGTTATAGCTTCCTTGAAAAGGTATTGTATTAATTTAATTATAGAATTAGGTTTATTCTGAAATATAAAACTTTATTTAAACAAATTTAACAAAAGGAGAGTGCATAATTAATTTATTTTTAACTTAAAATGATTACTTAAAACTTTAATAATCAAATTAAAATAATAAATCAAAATGTTATTGAAAATTGAAAAAAAAATAAAGTGGCATTAAGGATAAAAATATTCAAGCAAATCAAACATTGTGAAGTCTCATTAGGAAAGTGAATTATTTGAACTGCTTATTAGTTTGCTAATCAAAATGGTCATTAAATATGTTTAGGATTTAATATAAATAATAGATTCGATGAGGGATATACTTTTTATAATAATAATGTATTATTAAATACTTAACTTATTTTTTTAATAATATATTAATCTTACTATTGTCTTACATTTGCCACCTTAGACCAGTTTCAACTCTACTAATTGTCACAGCAGGTTATTATATTTCATAATTCTCATCATAACTACTTAATAATTCTTTGGATAAGTAGAATCGTCATTAAAGTATTGTATAATTTAAAAGTGTTCTTTAAAGCTTTGCCATATAGTTTTGTGAATTTCGATTAAGGAGAGACATTTTCTGATAAATTTTATACTTGATTATTTATTTTCCCAATCCATATAATTATGAGTTAGGATACTAGCAACATTCATATAATTTTTTTTGTTATTAAAAGCAAGCAATTCCTATTATAATTTTAATCTCAATTATTGTTTTACTAAATAGATAGCTTGCGTATAATTTAGATAACGTTTATTAGTTTTATATTTAAAATAAATTTGAATTTGAAATGAGAGGAAAAAACCCACCATATTATTAAATTTGCTCTCCTTAAAGAGCACCTCAACTACTTTAAGTTGTACCATAGTAGCCTAATTAAAACGACAGATTAATTAACTTAAAATGCGAAAAGGTATTGATGGGATTTGAAATACAAAGGCAGAACTAAATAATAAAAGAGCTTGAAGAAAATAAAATTTAGTTAGAACAACAGATGTAAAATTATTTAATATTGTAGAAAAACTTATAAAGATGAATAAAAGATTTTATTGTTAGAAATATCTTCATTAAATCAAGAGATGAAGAAAGTTAAGGACCAAGAAAAAAATAATAGAGAGTCGATGGATGTGTTTGTCAGAAATTAACCTTAACTTGATAATTAAATGAAATTTGACCTTTCTGCTGAATATTAAAAGTTAAAGGAAGAAAATTAATATTTAGAGTCAAAAATATCTTATTTATTAAGTATTAATTAGTTAGAAGGTAAATAAGATGTTTCCACAACAAAAAAATTAAATTTCGATCCACATAAAGCTTAAAATCCAATATCTTAGAATATTCAAAAACTTTTAGATTAATTATAAAATAATCTCTAAAGTCATAAATCAGGAAGCTCCATTCAAAATAAATATATTAATTCCTTAACAATTTTAAAGGAAATCATAAAATCTCAAATATCTTACCTAACTAATTAAGGAAATTAAAATGCAGAAGTTGATTATTAACAGCTTGAAATATATTTGACTGCAATAAATTAAGACATTGAAGATTTAAAATCTTATGAAACCCCAAAAGCAGTGAGACGAATTTTAGATAATTAAAGCCCATAACTAGGAAGATCATGCTCATAAGGTTTATCATCAAATGAAGTCTTTTCAAAAATAATTGGTCATATTGAACATTTGTAACAAGGAGCTACAAATATTCCAACTATTTTAAAATAAATTTCTTTGCTTAATTCTTTAGTTAGATTAAAAAATGAAGATCTTAAACTGATAAACAATAATAATAAATTAAGGTAATCACCTACTAGATTCTCAATCGCCATCAGTCCTGTAAAATATCTAAGCCCAATTAGAATTTCTCCTATAAAAATACAACCTTTTATAATGAATATGAGCGCTCCTTAAAAAGTTTCAATAATTTAATCAAATATACATGATTCACATTAGACTAATTAAAAATAAAATGTTGTTGATTCATTTCCAATATAATAAAGAGATGAATTTCAAAATGTTCTAAATTCTTTTAGAGATAATTAAGGGAAAATCAGCTAATTGGAGTATGAAAATATATAATTATCAGAATAAGTAAAATTGATTCGTTAAAGATATGAATAACTAATTTAAAACTAAATTTAATAGTCAGAAACTTAAGGTCTAGAAACAGAAAGTTTAAACTTAAGGAGAAAAAATCTAGATTTATAATAATAGATCAATGAATTTATAGACGAAAGAATAAAACTTTAAAGATCAGTCGAATATTACAAAAACCAGTATTAATAAATAATAAACTTGTTTAATGAAGAAAAATAACCAAATGAGTATAAAAAGGAAATTATATCTTAATAAGATAAAATAAATAATTTAGAAAATGAAAAATTACTTTTGAATGATGAATATACTACTTTAATTGAAAAAAATGATACTTTAAAAAAAAATTAAATATAACTTTAAGATTAAATAATAGATTTATTAAAAGAAGTCAATAAGTAAAATAATGAATAATATGATGATAAAGATATTGAAAGTGTAGAGGAAAAATAAGAGGATTAATTAAAATAATTGAATATTTTAAAAACTGAGAATTAAATTTTAAAAGATTAACTAGCAGAGGTAGAAAATTAAAAATGTGAAGATTTGAAATAGTTTAAAGAAATTTTAGGAAAAGGAGCAGATTAATAATGCATAGCAGATATATTAACATAAAAACAAAAACTATAATAAGACTAAAGATAACATTTAATTTAAATAAATAAATTATAATAAGAGTTAATAGAAGAATAAAATTAAAATTAGTTGAGATAGAAAGAGTTTAAAAAGTAACAAGAGTAATAAGAAAAAAAAGATCAATAAACCTAAGAAAACAAGATTGAATTAAATGCTTTATAATTACAAAAAGAAATAAATAGATTAATAAATGAATAAATTAATTTAAAAGATGAATTACTACAAACAAAGAAGCAAGTAAATGAATAATTGCAATAATAAATCTAAAAACCTCAAGGTGGAGAGGAGAAAATTCAATCTTAAACAGATCCTGAAAAAGTGTTATAAATCAGCTCTCTCTAGGCAGAATGCTTGAATCTGAAGAAACAAATATAGGATGTTGAGTAGCAAAGAAAGGATGATCTCAAGAATTTCGAGAAAATGCTTGGAGAAGGAGTCAATGAATCGTAAGTAATTGGATTGACTTCTGATAAATAGTAACTATAATCTGATTTAAGACAATTACTAAATAAATGTGATCAATTGTAGTAAGAACAAATTGCATTGTAGAATTAATTACTTTAGAAGAACAGATAAATTGTGGATTTATAGGATGAAAACAAACAAAGTGAGAAAGCAGAACAAATCCGGGAAAAGGATAACGAGATAAAACTATTGGAATAACAAGTACAAACAGCTAAAGATCAGTATTAGGAGCTTTTAGACTTACAATAATAGAACTTAACTCCTGGAGGATAAAAGGAGAAGATATTATAATAAACCAAAAAAATTCATGATTAATAAGAAGTTATGAATGAACTTTAATAGAAGGTGGAAACTGATATACCTTAACTCAATAGACTCTTATGTGATGCTGAAGAGAAATTAAAAGAAACCTAAAATGAAGCAAATTTATGGAAAAAAAATTATTAAGATCTGCATGAAGCTAAATAAGTGAAAATAGATGATTTTGTGAAAGCAGAAGAGATACAAGGATTAAATTTGGAGTAAGCAAAAGAAACTTTATAAAAATTAAATGAAGAGTTAAAGAAATCAAAACTTATCAATAATGAATAGCTTAAGGTGAATGAATAGCTGAAGGATTAAATAGACAAGTTTAGATAGAAAGATGTTAAATAAAATTAAGAAGATACAACCTAATTACAAAATTAGATTGATAAATTATAAAATGAATAAATTAGTTTAAAGGATGAATTACTACAAACAAAGAAACAAGTAAATGAACAATTGCAATAATAAATTTAAAAACCTCAAGGTGGAGAGGAGCAAATTCAATTCTAAACAGATCCTGAAAAAGTGTTATAAATCAGCTCTCTCTAGGCAGAATGCTTGAATCTGAAGAAACAAATATAGGATGTTGAGTAGCAAAGAAAGGATGATCTCAAGAATTTCGAGAAAATGATTGGAGAAGGAGTCAATGAATCGTAAGTAATTGGATTGACTTCTGATAAATAGTAACTATAATCTGATTTAAGATAATTACAAAATAAATGTGATTAATTGTAGTAAGTTCAAATCGAATTGTAGGATTCATTACATTAAAAGAACAGATAAATTGTGACATTATAGGATGAAAACAAACAAAGTGAGAAAGAAGAACAAATCCGAGTAAAGGATAACTAGATAAAAATATTGGAATAACAAGTTTAAACAGCTAAAGATCAGTATCAGGAGCTTTTAGACTTACAATAATAAAATTTAACTCCTGGAGGATAAAAGGAGAAGATATTATAATAAACCAAAGAAATTCATGATTAATAAGAAGTTATTAATGCACTTTAATAGAAGGTTGAAACTGATATACCTTAACTCAATAGACTCTTGTGTGATGCTGAAGAGAAATTAAAAGAAACCTAAAATGAAGCAAATTTATGGAAAAAAAATTATTAAGATTTGCATGAAGCTAAATAAGTGAAAATAGATGATTTTGTGAAAGCAGAAGAGATACAAGGATTAAATTTGGAGTCAGCAAAAGAAACTTTATAAAAATTAAATGAAGAGTTAAAGAAATCAAAACTTATCAATAATGAATAGCTTAAGGTGAATGAATAGCTGAAGGATTAAATAGACAAGTTTAGATAGAAAGATGTTAAATAAAATTAAGAAGATAAAACCTAATTACAAAATTTGATTGATAAATTATAAAATGAATAAATTAGTTTAAAGGATGAATTACTCCAAACAAAGAAACAAGTAAACGAACAATTGCAATAATAAATCTAAAAACCTCAAGGTGGAGAGGAGCAAATTCAATCCTAAACAGATCCTGAAAAAGTGTTATAACTCAGCTCTCTCTAGGCAGAATGCTTGAATCTGAAGAAACAAATATAGGATGTTGAGTAGCAAAGAAAGGATGATCTCAAGAATTTCGAGAAATTGCTTGGAGAAGGAGTCAATGAATCGTAAGTAATTGGATTGACTTCTGATAAATAGTAACTATAATCTGATTTAAGACAATTACAAAATAAATGTGATCAATTGTAGTAAGAACAAATTGCATTGTAGAATTAATTACTTTAGAAGAACAGATAAATTGTGGATTTATAGGATGAAAACAAACAAAGTGAGAAAGCAGAACAAATCCGGGAAAAGGATAACTAGATAAAACTATTGGAATAACAAGTTTAAACAGCTAAAGATCAGTATCAGGAGCTTTTAGACTTACAATAATAGAACTTAACTCCTGAAGGGTAAAAGGAGAAGATATTATAATAAACCAAAGAAATTCATGATTAATAAGAAGTTATTAATGAACTTTAATAGAAGGTTGAAACTGATATACCGTAACTCAAAAGATAATTGTGTGATGCTGAAGAGAAATTAAAAGAAACCTAAAATGAAGCAAATTTATGGAAAAAAAATTACTAAGATCTGCATGAAGCTAAATAAGTGAAAATAGATGATTTTGTGAAAGCAGAAGAGATTCAAGGATTAAATTTAGAGTAAGCAAAAGAAACTTTATAAAAATTAAATGAAGAGTTAAAGAAATAAAAACTTATCAATAATGAATAGCTTAAGGTGAATGAATAGCTGAAGGATTAAATAGACAAGTTTAGATAGAAAGATGATAAATAAAATTAAGAAGATAAAACCTAATTACAAAATTTGATTGATAAATTATAAAATGAATAAATTAGTTTAAAGGATGAATTACTAAAAACAAAGAAACAAGTAAATGAACAATTGCAATAATAAATCTAAAAACCTCAAGGTGGAGAGGAGCAAATTCAATCCTAAACAGATCCTGAAAAAGTGTTATAACTCAGCTCTCTCTAGGCAGAATGCTTGAATCTGAAGAAACAAATATAGGATGTTGAGTAGCAAAGAAAGGATGATCTCAAGAATTTCGAGAAATTGCTTGGAGAAGGAGTCAATGAATCGTAAGTAATTGGATTGACTTCTGATAAATAGTAACTATAATCTGATTTAAGACAATTACTAAATAAATGTGATTAATTGCAATAAGAATAAATCACATTGTAAAATTAAATACTTTTGAAAAACAGATAAATTGTGAATTTATAGGATGAAAACAAACAAAGTGAGAAAGAAGAACAAATCCGAATAAAGGATAACTAGATAAAACTATTAGAATAACAAGTTTAAACAGCTAAAGATCAGTATCAGGAGCTTTTAGACTTACAATAATAGAATTTAACTCCTGGAGGATAAAAGGAGAAGATATTATAATAAACCAAAGAAATTCATGATTAATAAGAAGTTATTAATGAACTTTAATAGAAGGTTGAAACTGATATACCTTAACTCAATAGACTCTTGTGTGATGCTGAAGAGAAATTAAAAGAAACCTAAAATGAAGCAAATTTATGGAAAAAAAATTACTAAGATCTGCATGAAGCTAAATAAGTGAAAATAGATGATTTTGTGAAAGCAGAAGAGATACAAGGATTAAATTTGGAGTAAGCAAAAGAAACTTTATAAAAATTAAATGAAGAGTTAAAGAAATAAAAACTTATCAATAATGAATAGCTTAAGGTGAATGAATAGCTGAAGGATTAAATAGACAAGTTTAGATAGAAAGATGATAAATAAAATTAAGAAGATAAAACCTAATTACAAAATTTTATTGATAAATTATAAAATGAATAAATTAGTTTAAAGGATGAATTACTACAAACAAAGAAACAAGTAAATGAACAATTGCAATAATAAATCTAAAAACCTCAAGGTGGGGAGCAGCAGATTCAATTCTAAACAGATCCTGAAAAAGTGTTATAAATCAGCTCTCTCTAGGCAGAATGCTTGAATCTGAAGAAACAAATATAGGATGTTGAGTAGCAAAGAAAGGATGATCTCAAGAATTTCGAGAAAATGCTTGGAGAAGGAGTCAATGAATCGTAAGTAATTGGATTGACTTCTGATAAATAGTAACTATAATCTGATTTAAGACAATTACAAAATAAATGTGATCAATTGTAGTAAGAACAAATTGCATTGTAGAATTAATTACTTTAGAAGAACAGATAAATTGTGGATTTATAGGATGAAAACAAACAAAGTGAGAAAGCAGAACAAATCCGGGAAAAGGATAACGAGATAAAACTATTGGAATAACAAGTACAAACAGCTAAAGATCAGTATTAGGAGCTTTTAGACTTACAATAATAGAACTTAACTCCTGGAGGATAAAAGGAGAAGATATTATAATAAACCAAAGAAATTCATGATTAATAAGAAGTTATTAATGAACTTTAATAGAAGGTGGAAACTGAAGTGCCACAGCTCTAAGGACAATTAAGCGAAGCTTAGGAGAAATTAAAGGACGCCCAAAAGGATGCAGAATTGTGGAATAGAAAGTATCATGAATTGCTAGAGAGCAAATAAACTTAAGTTCAGAACATTCTTGCTCCAGAAGAAATTGAAAAATTAACATCTGAAGAAGCCAAAAACGCTCTTACATAATTGAACAACTAATATTCTGATAAAGTTCAAGAAAATAGAGAATTAGAGATGGTTGTTTAGCACCTTCGACAAGATCTGGATTCTTCATAAGAGAAATTGTAATAGCAATTAAAGGAAGCCCAACAAGAAAAAGCTATTCATGAATAATAAACTCAAATCCTTAATAATTAATTGCGAGATTTAGTTGCAAAGGATGAAGTTCAAAGATCAGAAATCTTGGATTTGAAAAACAAAATTGATTAAGAGAATGCTGACTTTTGGAGAAAACAATATTAGTAATTGGCAGAAAAGTAGCCTGAAATTAGTTCAACATAGGCAGGTGACATTCAAGAACAACAAGTGGAAGCAGGCTAACAAAAAGGAGAAGAGAAGCCCAGAGAAGGTTTGAATGAAGAACTTGAATTACTGAAGATAAAATTAGAGAAATTAAATGATTTGTAAAAAGAAAATGAAGAATTGAAAGCATAGCAAATTTTAATTTAAGATGAATTACTACAAACAAAGAAACAAGTAAATGAACAATTGCAATAATAAATCTAAAAACCTCAAGGTGGGGAGCAGCAGATTCAATTCTAAACAGATCCTGAAAAAGTGTTATAAATCAGCTCTCTCTAGGCAGAATGCTTGAATCTGAAGAAACAAATATAGGATGTTGAGTAGCAAAGAAAGGATGATCTCAAGAATTTCGAGAAAATGCTTGGAGAAGGAGTCAATGAATCGTAAGTAATTGGATTGACTTCTGATAAATAGTAACTATAATCTGATTTAAGACAATTACAAAATAAATGTGATCAATTGTAGTAAGAACAAATTGCATTGTAGAATTAATTACTTTAGAAGAACAGATAAATTGTGGATTTATAGGATGAAAACAAACAAAGTGAGAAAGCAGAACAAATCCGGGAAAAGGATAACGAGATAAAACTATTGGAATAACAAGTACAAACAGCTAAAGATCAGTATTAGGAGCTTTTAGACTTACAATAATAGAACTTAACTCCTGGAGGATAAAAGGAGAAGATATTATAATAAACCAAAGAAATTCATGATTAATAAGAAGTTATTAATGAACTTTAATAGAAGGTGGAAACTGAAGTGCCACAGCTCTAAGGACAATTAAGCGAAGCTTAGGAGAAATTAAAGGACGCCCAAAAGGATGCAGAATTGTGGAATAGAAAGTATCATGAATTGCTAGAGAGCAAATAAACTTAAGTTCAGAACATTCTTGCTCCAGAAGAAATTGAAAAATTAACATCTGAAGAAGCCAAAAACGCTCTTACATAATTGAACAACTAATATTCTGATAAAGTTCAAGAAAATAGAGAATTAGAGATGGTTGTTTAGCACCTTCGACAAGATCTGGATTCTTCATAAGAGAAATTGTAATAGCAATTAAAGGAAGCCCAACAAGAAAAAGCTATTCATGAATAATAAACTCAAATCCTTAATAATTAATTGCGAGATTTAGTTGCAAAGGATGAAGTTCAAAGATCAGAAATCTTGGATTTGAAAAACAAAATTGATTAAGAGAATGCTGACTTTTGGAGAAAACAATATTAGTAATTGGCAGAAAAGTAGCCTGAAATTAGTTCAACATAGGCAGGTGACATTCAAGAACAACAAGTGGAAGCAGGCTAACAAAAAGGAGAAGAGAAGCCCAGAGAAGGTTTGAATGAAGAACTTGAATTACTGAAGATAAAATTAGAGAAATTAAATGATTTGTAAAAAGAAAATGAAGAATTGAAAGCATAGCAAATTTTAATTTAAGATGAATTACTACAAACAAAGAAACAAGTAAATGAACAATTGCAATAATAAATCTAAAAACCTCAAGGTGGGGAGCAGCAGATTCAATTCTAAACAGATCCTGAAAAAGTGTTATAAATCAGCTCTCTCTAGGCAGAATGCTTGAATCTGAAGAAACAAATATAGGATGTTGAGTAGCAAAGAAAGGATGATCTCAAGAATTTCGAGAAAATGCTTGGAGAAGGAGTCAATGAATCGTAAGTAATTGGATTGACTTCTGATAAATAGTAACTATAATCTGATTTAAGACAATTACAAAATAAATGTGATCAATTGTAGTAAGAACAAATTGCATTGTAGAATTAATTACTTTAGAAGAACAGATAAATTGTGGATTTATAGGATGAAAACAAACAAAGTGAGAAAGCAGAACAAATCCGGGAAAAGGATAACGAGATAAAACTATTGGAATAACAAGTACAAACAGCTAAAGATCAGTATTAGGAGCTTTTAGACTTACAATAATAGAACTTAACTCCTGGAGGATAAAAGGAGAAGATATTATAATAAACCAAAGAAATTCATGATTAATAAGAAGTTATTAATGAACTTTAATAGAAGGTGGAAACTGAAGTGCCACAGCTCTAAGGACAATTAAGCGAAGCTTAGGAGAAATTAAAGGACGCCCAAAAGGATGCAGAATTGTGGAATAGAAAGTATCATGAATTGCTAGAGAGCAAATAAACTTAAGTTCAGAACATTCTTGCTCCAGAAGAAATTGAAAAATTAACATCTGAAGAAGCCAAAAACGCTCTTACATAATTGAACAACTAATATTCTGATAAAGTTCAAGAAAATAGAGAATTAGAGATGGTTGTTTAGCACCTTCGACAAGATCTGGATTCTTCATAAGAGAAATTGTAATAGCAATTAAAGGAAGCCCAACAAGAAAAAGCTATTCATGAATAATAAACTCAAATCCTTAATAATTAATTGCGAGATTTAGTTGCAAAGGATGAAGTTCAAAGATCAGAAATCTTGGATTTGAAAAACAAAATTGATTAAGAGAATGCTGACTTTTGGAGAAAACAATATTAGTAATTGGCAGAAAAGTAGCCTGAAATTAGTTCAACATAGGCAGGTGACATTCAAGAACAACAAGTGGAAGCAGGCTAACAAAAAGGAGAAGAGAAGCCCAGAGAAGGTTTGAATGAAGAACTTGAATTACTGAAGATAAAATTAGAGAAATTAAATGATTTGTAAAAAGAAAATGAAGAATTGAAAGCATAGCAAATTTTAATTTAAGATGAATTACTACAAACAAAGAAACAAGTAAATGAACAATTGCAATAATAAATCTAAAAACCTCAAGGTGGGGAGCAGCAGATTCAATTCTAAACAGATCCTGAAAAAGTGTTATAAATCAGCTCTCTCTAGGCAGAATGCTTGAATCTGAAGAAACAAATATAGGATGTTGAGTAGCAAAGAAAGGATGATCTCAAGAATTTCGAGAAAATGCTTGGAGAAGGAGTCAATGAATCGTAAGTAATTGGATTGACTTCTGATAAATAGTAACTATAATCTGATTTAAGACAATTACAAAATAAATGTGATCAATTGTAGTAAGAACAAATTGCATTGTAGAATTAATTACTTTAGAAGAACAGATAAATTGTGGATTTATAGGATGAAAACAAACAAAGTGAGAAAGCAGAACAAATCCGGGAAAAGGATAACGAGATAAAACTATTGGAATAACAAGTACAAACAGCTAAAGATCAGTATTAGGAGCTTTTAGACTTACAATAATAGAACTTAACTCCTGGAGGATAAAAGGAGAAGATATTATAATAAACCAAAGAAATTCATGATTAATAAGAAGTTATTAATGAACTTTAATAGAAGGTGGAAACTGAAGTGCCACAGCTCTAAGGACAATTAAGCGAAGCTTAGGAGAAATTAAAGGACGCCCAAAAGGATGCAGAATTGTGGAATAGAAAGTATCATGAATTGCTAGAGAGCAAATAAACTTAAGTTCAGAACATTCTTGCTCCAGAAGAAATTGAAAAATTAACATCTGAAGAAGCCAAAAACGCTCTTACATAATTGAACAACTAATATTCTGATAAAGTTCAAGAAAATAGAGAATTAGAAAATAATTATAAATAAAATATGTCGCTTTTGTTTTCAAAACAGTAAGAACTAGAATAATTATAAATGTCTAACTGTTAAAATCAAGAAATTTAAAATTTAAAGTTAACTTAATTATAAAACATAATTGATGATTAAGCAAATTTTATCAGTACATTAAAACAACAAATTTAAAATTTATAATCTGAAATAGTCGAAAATAATGCTACTTTTTGGAAATAATCATATAACTAATTATTAGAAGAATTTCAAAAAACAAATCAAAATTAACATAGTTCAAATGATGAATCAGTATCACTTTAAACTTCCTAGACTAATATATTTTAAGAAACTCCAAAACCATAAGTAGATTTTTAAAATTTGAAACAATAAAATGAAGATTTAATGAAGATTAAATTTTAGTTATAATAAGAGTTAATCGATGCTTAAAATCACATATCTCTTCTACTTAGCGAAAAATAAGAAAAACCATTATGCTAAGAAGAAGGTATTATTTTTTCTACTGATCCAGAAAAAGTTTTAGTTATATCTTAATTACAATAAAAGATTGAACTATTAAATAAATAACTTTTCGAAATTGAGTAGTTGAGAATAGAAGATCTATAGAAATTTAAAGATATGATTGGAAATGGAATCAATGAAAGTAATGTAGCAGCTCTTATGCAAGAAAAATAAGCATTATAATCTTAAATAATAAAACTATAAACTTAGATAGATTAACTTTAATAAGAACAAATTGTAATCTAGAATTAACTAATTTTAAAGACAAGAAAGATAATAGAATTAGAATAGAGTTTAAAATAAGATTCAAATTTAGAAAACATGATTCAACTTTAGAATGAGAACAGGTTACTTCAAGAAGAATTGTTGAAATTCAAAAAGTCCTATTAAGAATTACTTGAAGGACAATCAGAAAACTTAACTCCAAATAGTTTAAAAGAAAAAATATTAATATTTTAAAAGCACATACACGATTTGGAAGAACAAATTTTAATTTCTTAATAAAAATATGAGAGCGAAATTTCATCATTAGTTGGATAATTAAGTGAAAGTTAATAAAGATTAAAAGATTCTAAAGTTGATGCTCAGTTATGGGACAAGAAGTACCATGAATTGCTGGAAAACCGTTAAAATCTACCAACACTGGAAATCGAAGATCTAAAAAAAAAATTAGAAGAAGCTTAATTAAATGCAGAAAAGGAGAAAGAAAAATATCATCTACTTTTATAAGAAGAACTTTCATAACTTTCCCCTACTTCTGCTCAAGCTAAACTTTTGTAGGCAATGGAACAAATTAATTAATTAAAATTATAATTAGAAAGTAATAAAGCACAAGCTTATCAATAGCCTTAGTAAGAGATTGAAAAATTATAAGATGAAATTGAAAATTAAATAAGAAAAATTGAAAATTTCGAATAAATAAATCAAATAACAAATCAATAAATTGAATATTTAAAAGGAGAATTATAAAAAAAAGAAATAAATCCCCCTTCTGAAGATGTGCTATCAATTAAAGAATAAAATATACTATTATAGTCGCAAATTACTTAAAAAATAAGGGAACTAAAGGAAGCAGATGAGTAAAATAAATAGCAATAACAAAAAATTTTTGATACTTAAAAAGATCAATAAAAAGCAGACTTTTGGAAAATATAATATTAAGATTTGCTATCATAGTAATATTCACAAGAAAAATCTGTATAAATATAGGAATAAAAAGAACTGCAAATTAATGAGGAGCCTTTGCTTGAGGAAAATCAAAAAAAACTTTTGCTTTAGGAATAAATATATTAATTACAAATAGAAAAGGCAAATCTTTCATAGCAACTAATAGAAACTTAAAAAACAGCCAATATTGTTCTTCAGCCTAAATAATAAGAAGAATTATTAAACAATCGACAAAATGATCTAATTAAGAGTTTAGAGAAATAAATTGAAGATTTAAAGAAAGAAAATAAAGAGTAATATTTCATTTATTATTTTTAGTATTATTGAATAAATGAGAACAGCACTTGACGAAAATGATGTCTAAAAATAGGTAGCTTAACTTATTGAAATTAACAGTAAATTAAATTTAAATAATGCAAAACTATTGATTGATATTGAAATTAATTAAAAAGAATTAATTAGATAGTAATCTCAAGTTTAACTTTTAAATAATACTCTTAATGATCTTTAAGATCTAAATGGGGCTGAAAATGCAAAAATGAGAATTTCAGATTTAGAGAAATAACTAGATTTAATTGGATAATAGGTGGAATTTTGGAAATAGAAATATTAATAAGTCTTAAGTGAATATAGTAAATAATTATCCCCAACTAATGTTCAACTAAAGATGTTAGAATAAACAAAATTAATCCATGAATAAGAAGAAGCTTTATTGCTACTATAAAAAACCAAAGATTAGTCAAAATTAGAGAGTGATTCTGAAATAAATAATCTACTTATCAAAAATAAAGAATTTCAAGAAGAAAATGCAGTTTTGAGAAAAAAATTGCAAGATTACTAAAATTAAACTCAATAATTATCTATACAAAGAGTCATATCGCAAGGTGAAAATGAGCTTTAGGTTTAATATTGGAAAGATAAATATTAAGAAGCCTTAGAAGCCTTATACAAAGACCCTGAACATGTATAAGAAATACTCAAATAAAAAGAAGAAGTTGCCCAGACTTTATATTTTGATAAAGATTCTTAATCTATTCATGATCCTGAATCTGATTTAATTGAAAAATTAAGAAGTGAAAATTAAACATTTTAAGGGGAAGTTACTTTTTATAAAAAACGAGTTTATGAATTAGAATAGTAATAGAAAATTGAACCTAGTTAATAAGACACTGTATAATCTAGACAATATCAAATTACCTAGCTTGAAAAAGACCTTCAAAAAGCTCTTACAAATTGTGCATATTGGGAATAAAAATATAATGAAATTGTCTAACAAAATATCAAAATTGAAACTCAAAAATTTGGAGGCGACCCTACTCAAACTGCAACTTTTTGGAGGTAAAAATATGATTAAGTGGAACTTAATCGATAGTAATTGATTTAAGTAATTGCAGAAAAAGAAGAATAACTAGAATTAAATATGTTGTCCTTCTAGTCAATTCTGAAAGATGAGTTGAAAGAAGAACTTACTAAAATAAGAACTTAAGAAAGATAAAAAATAGAACAATAATTTTAGCAATATTATCCATAGAGTGAGTCAATTCTAATATAAAAATTAAAAGATTCACATGAAATAGAGAAAGAATAACTTATTTAAGAATTCTTAAGAAGAATAGATTAATTGTTACAGAGTAATGTGTAAAAGTATCCTGAGGGAGAAAATTGGAAGGAATTAATTTTAAGATATGAAAAATAAAGACAAAATGAACTTTATGAACTAAGATAGCATTTGGAAATTTTACAAAGATCGTAAGTTTCTACCAAAGATATAGAATTCTATGCAGAAAGAAGAGCTTATGAAAATACAATTAATGAATTAAGAGCTAGGATGTCCCAAGAAGACCCTTAAGAACTTTACGATACCATAGAATATTAAAGAAAAGTTATTTTAGATTAAGAAAACTAAATCTAATTTCTGTAAAATGAGCGAACAAATCTAGAAATGCATATAATGTAGTTGAATTAGTAAATCGATCAATTAAAAGATAACATTTCTAAATTCTAAATATAATAGGATCATAGAAAAAGGCAGAGAGCTGAAGTTCTTGAAGCTATTGAAGAAATGAAAAGAGAAAGAGCTGCTGATAGAGAATCTTTTAAGTCTCCTTACAGATAAATGAGACAAAGTTAGCGAAGAACATCTTGGGATAGGTATCCTAAGGACTTTTTAAGACCTTCAAATATTTAATAACCTTCCCCATATTAACATCATCAAGCTTCACCTATGCATAAAATTCCATTGTAGCAATCCTAATTTATTTCTCCAAAATAGGAAAATAGAGAAATAACTATAAAGTTATAGGAATTAGATGAAGTTAAATATAAGTATTAATCAGCTTTGAATAATATTCTATAGCTTGAAACCTAAGTAATAGAAAAACTTTAGCAAGATGATTTGTAGATTGAATGAATTATATAAAAATTATGTTTAAATAAATATATACAAATAATCTTTTGAAAATGAATTTTCTAGATTTATTTTCTTTCTTTGACAATATCTTAACAAAAATTTATTATAAATTAAATATCAAGTAACAATAATTGATAATTTTTAACTCTATAATAGTTAAGTATTTGATGAATTGAAAGAGTTTGTTAAGTAGTAAATGTAAACAATAGTTTAAGAGTAGAAGCTAAAGTTGGTACGATTATTGCAAAAAAAAAACTAAAGAGGCTCTTGTGGACTAAAAATTTTTCAGCTATTTTTATAAATATGGAAAGCAAAATAGAAAAAATAATAAATTAGAATCTGGTTATCATAACTAGACTATGGAAAGAAAGCTAAAAGTTAAAAAGAGAATAAAGGATGAATATTATGAAAGCGATGCATTTAATAAATTCAAATAAATAAATCGGCTCTTTGGCGGATATTGCAAAGGCAATTTAGACAATTATTTGGAATTGTTATAAAAAATAAAAATTTTTCTAACTTATGGAGAATTAAATCTGAGATTTTTATCAAATAATAAAAATTGCATAATCAAGAAATATCCTAGTTAATCATATATAGAAAAATTTAATAATTTCATAATAATATTCTAGTTCAAAACTCTGGATCTACTGCAACAGGAGTTCAAAATATTTTAAAATTAAAAATATATTCAATAAAAACTTAAATGGGAAAATTATAGGCTCAAAAAAACTATATATAAAATCAGGAGTATAATCTTAAACTTAATAAAATGATTGAAATTTATATTAAGACAATTAATGGATGAAAGTAAAAAAGTTTGAAAGTTTTTAAACAAAAAGATTAGCAGCCATATTCTATATATCAAATAAAGGTTGGTATGGAAAAGAGATACTAGTTAAAATAGTGATGAAGAATATTTTTAGGGAATATAAGGATGTTATTATTGATGAATGCTTTTGGGTTATGAACTATGAAAATTTATTTTTCTTTATTTACATAGATTAATATGAGTTTAAATAGTATATTGTAAGACGAAATAAGAATCTAATTTAGTCGCTTTTACTATTTATATATTATTATAAAAATATCCAATCACATCTTTTACATTTTTTCATTAATAAAGGCTTATCCTTAAGCAAAGTTTGCAATATATTAAAATAATTATGCTTCTTCAACTTGGCTTAATAAAACTTCTGACTCATTTCGAATTAAATCTATTTGATTCAAAGTAGATAAGAGTTTTCTTCCAAAATCCTAATCTCCTACTTCATTACCAGCCTATGATGATAAATTTTCTTACAATAACTTTTTCCAAATATGAAAGTATTTTTTCTATATTCTTTATATTTTCTGAGACTAGCAAAGATGGATTAGCTGTATTTACTATTTTAAAATCTTTCTATTGTAAATTAGGAGCTAAGAATGGCCAAACTTATTATAAATTTTCATCTGAAAATGAAATTTTTATAGGCATAGTGTTAAATGATGCCACTGCTGCATAATGCTTTAAGGATTGATTAAGTTTAAATGCCTGAATATTTAGAATAGATACTTTCATTTCGATTTTGTTTAAATTTAATGTTGGATTAATTTTGAGTATTATTGGCTAACCTAATACTGCAGTAGCATTAAATCCATTCTCCTTTTTACTAAACTCAGTTGAAAGATAAGCAACACCTATATCTAATTATAAATTTTTCGTCGTAACAAATCCACCTAGTAAAACTTCTTGTGGATTAGCTTATA